TGTATTTGTCATTGCTTTGTTCTGATTTCTCAAAAGGGACCTGTAATACTGTAGAGGGAAATTGTTTAGAGAGGGAGATCAACAGATTTTTTTTAAGAAGAAATTCCACATTTTGAAGATTCCCGATCCAATCCACCTTTTACATGAATCCAATCCACTCGATCCAATCCACCTTTTAATCTCTACCTTTGAGAATCGCTTACTCTTCAAAATTTGTTTTCAAAAATACTTACTGAATACCTTTACATGTTTTCCATGTTTCTGAATGTTTATGCAAAATGTGGTATCAATATGATAACAAAAAGGTTACAGACATTAGGGTTAATATAACATACCTACTAAGGGGCGTTTTTCATAACATGTGACATCGAGCCCTTCTTGGAGACACCATCTGATGGTTGCCAAGCCCGAAACACCTGCTCCGATAACACAAACCGTCTTGACCATGTCGTAGTATGTTCTGTTTTATATAGAAGACTGGACTATGGTCAACTTCTGACCACTTCTCGAAGTCTATTAAACAGTGATCTTTCAGTTAATGTTTTAAGGTCAATCGGTCTTATCTTTTGAGACCGATTGACCACTACACCACACCCAGAACTACACTGATATCGTACAAATGTCACATTTCAAAGCACTGCGACCTTAGGTATAATCAGATATTTAAATAAAGTACATTATTTGCTAATGAATCAACTCTATTAGAGATTTGCAATCAATAAAACGATGAATCGTTGAAAATATATGCAACAAATCTAACATAATTTGGTATCGATGAGTCATAATATGCTTGTAAATAAATCAAAAGTAGTTCAAACTGGAACCGATTATAACTAATTAAATATTTATTCATTAAAATTGTTGAAATAGTGTTGAATAAGACAATCACACGTCTCTGTGATCGCACCTTTAGCAAGATTATTACAGATCCCCAAAGGATACTAATAGGACACCTTTGCAGAATCGTAGCTGAACGTGTATAACTCACAGTCTGAAAAGACCAGTATTAACATGGCAAGAGATTTTGGACAGCTGTATTTTTGGTCATGGGTATTTCCCGACCATACAATGAATATTTTATATTGAAACAATATCTTGTCTTGACAAAAGTGCATGAAAAGAATAAAAATCTCATTTTAATAATGAGGTTAACCTCAGATTAGTAACCCACCTTCAATAATATGAAAACATCGGACAAAATATTGATGTTTTTGGGTGGGTTTAGGTTAAATCAATGCACATAAATCATTTCAAACAATTATTTTCAAAAATTAGACTAATCCAATGTAGTATTTAAATGATTGTTATATAAATTCTCAATTAATTCAAACTTTTTAGTAAATTGAATATGTTGAATATGTGTTGGAGGATACAAAACATATGGACATTTTAAAACGTGTCTGGTCACCATCTTTGTATATAGGGTTGATAATCTGACTAGGGACTACTCCACTGTTTAAACAGTCCAGTATTAGGTGATGCAATAATTTGATACATGTCGGGTTTTTGAGAGCTTCAGCAGGTATATTGTCTATGCCTGCGGCTTTACGGATCTTAGCGTGATTGACAGCGTTACTTCCTCTATTGATATACATTGATTAAGGGAGCTGTCTGGATCAGAATCAGTTGGGTCAATTTCATTAACTTCTTGTTTGACTTGTTCTTAGTGTTGGTCAATCAAAAAGCCTAATACCTCACGTGCAGTGAACTCTGCCATGATGACAACTGCTAGAAATTTGCAATACAGAAACTTAATTTTCCCTTTAAATTGCCCTCAAACTGACCAGAAATACCCCTCGAAATGACACGTACCCACATACTTTGATACGGTATTTCTTTTTTCAGGGATACTGCTGGATTCTGAAACTTTGCAATCCTATGTAACTTTCCATAAGGAACAAAATGATATGGAGGATGCATACTTATGAAACTCCCTGTATACATACAGGGTGGGCCAAAAAAAACCAATACCCAACTTTAAATCAGAATGAAAATAGCTATGCTCAATATGATACATTGATTTATATATCATTTTAAAGGTAATCCATTTTCGCACAATTTGGTATATAACACTATGTCATGAAATCAATATTAAAGTTTTATTATGCTTATTTGGGAGGCTGGGTCGGTATTTAAGGTATCTTGATTTTAGGGAGAAAATAGTAAATCTGCGGAATAATGTTAATTTTTATTTCTAGAATATCATTTTGTCAGGTGAATACATGCTTGTATATTTGCATATTGTGTGACTAAACTTATTGTTTATGAATTTTAGTGTTGTTTATTATCAATAAGTACTCAAAAGGGGTCTGTTAAAAGACATTAAACGTACATGTGACGAGGATTTTATTTTCCAACAAGACATTGCCTCGTACCATAGATGTAGATCTCAGGAGACATTGGAATTCCTTTGCAAACAAGGTGTCAATTTGATTGATCTCGATGCTTGGCTACCCAACAGTATCCATGCTACATGTAATGTGTGATTACCATACATGGAGCCATCTCGATGAAATGGTACAATCAAAAGCATCCAATAAACAGCATTGATGAGCTGAAACAGAATCCTTAAGTGCTGAAATGAATTGCAACAGAAATCTCTCAATAAGGCTATTGATAGATTGCGCTACCACTTGAAGCTTATTGTTGATGCAGAGGGGAGGGGGTGGGGATATATTGAGCAATTGTGAAAATTGTTTAAATAAATAAAGTGTAAAATGTTATTAAACAGCACTGAAATTCATAAACAATAAATTTAGTCACACAATGATGCAAATATCAATATCCAAGCATGTATTCACCTAACAAAAGAATGGTTTTCTATAAATAAAAAATTAACATAATTCCGCAGATTTACTATTTTCTCCCTTAAATCTGGAATCCTTAAATAGCAACCCGGCCTCCCAAATAAGTATAATAAAACTTTACTATTGATTTCATGGCATAGTGTTATATACCAAATTGTTTGAAATTGTAAGGCCTTTAAAATGATATGTAAGTCAATGTACCATATTGAATGTAACTATTTTATCCTGATTTGAAGTTGGGTATTGGTTTTTTTTGGCCCACCCTGTATGTTAATTAAAGTGTACAGATATAAATATTTCTCCATACAAAGAAAGATATTTACAGGTTGTGTTGTAGTGATTGTGCCAGCAAAACCCAGTTTATTGTGTCAGCACAATACAAAAATGATAAATGATAGCTCCAATTAGCTCTTCTATAGCCTTTTGTGATTCTCTAGAATGCCATGGAGGTGCTTTAATAGCCCCCTTCCGGTCCTTAATAGCTTTAGTAATAACCATTATGCCCTGGTTGTGCTTTAATAACCCCCTTGGATTCCTTAGTATACATTGGGGATTGCTTAGAATGCTTGGTGTTGTTTTAGTCCCTGATTTGTTTCTTAATAGCTTTAGTAATGGCCTAAGTGATAAGATCGCATGCCCTGGTTGTGCTTTAATAAACTCAATTGGTTCATCAATAGTATATGCAATAACCAAGTACACCCCCCTCCATAAGTTTGGCAACCTTTGCACTCCCATTGAACTAAGTGTTAAAGCCTTTTTACCTTTGAATTTTGATTTACTTGATGTGTGTTAATCTTAGAGTTTGACTCACTTTCTGACTCTCTGTGATTCCAGGCCCGTAGCCAGGGGGGGGGTTCGATGGGATGCGAACCCCCCCCCCCCCCCCCCCCTGGCCAAAAGTTCTTTCAAAATCATGCAATTTTTCACCATTTTGAGTACTTGTTAAGTGATTTTGGCCATTTTTGGACCAAAATTGTCAAAAGTGAACCCCCCCCTGGAATTTTCCAAAAAGTGACCCCCCCCCTTGACAAATCCTGGCTATGGGCCTGGATTCATTAAATAAATTCTAAAAAAATAATTGGGATTTAATACAGCACGATTTGCTGCTGAATTTAGAACTCGCTGGCATATGAATGGACATGTGAGTCTTCCTTGATAATTGATTTAGCATTTTATAAACCCAACATGTGTGTTGAGTCATTAACTTGAAATTAAACAGAAATGACAAAAATATTCAACTATAAACCAAAAGTTGTGTCCGCTCATGCTTACCCTAGTTACCGAGGTTATGTTTAGCTGGAACAATATTCAATGAAGTTAAATAAGAATCTGACACTTGGTAGATAATTGAATGATCAATTGTATGTGAAAAATTTGGACTGATTGCGTAACGTTAAGAATGCCTATAGTTTAGTTTTAGTTTAGTTTAGTTTTATTGTTATTTACAGTGGTAAGTTTACATCATTTAATACAATACAATACAAAAGTAATAAAATAAAAACCCACCCCACATGGGCTTATCAACCACTAAAGTAAATATATTTGTTGATAAATATTACACCTTTTTTGACACAAGTATAATTCATTTAATATTGTAAATTGCACTTCTTCTTTTAAAATAGCAAAATCTAACAAAATGAGCAGCTTGCCGAGGCATTTTTTCAAATAAATACTGAAACTTAAGTTCTACAGTTGATTCTCTTTCTTCAAAAATTTGATGATTTTGTAAATATTTTTCCCTTATTTCTTTATAAAATGTGCAATGAAAAATAAAATGTTCCTCATCCTCAATGTTGCCAGATTTACATAAAGTACATTTTCTATTTTCCAATTTTTCATTCCTAAATCTACCCATTTCAATTTCGAGTGGCAGAATTCCCATGCGTAATTGTGCAATAAAAGATCTTTCTAGCTTAGATAAAAGCATTAAATATGACTCAGTTTTGTATGAGGATTTGAATTTTACATATGTTCTTAATTTTGGTTTCTTGATTTTCAAATCCTTCCTAGTTTTGTTATATTTGATGCAAAGTATTTTCTTATGATAATAAAACTATGCAGAATGCGGATGTTACATATATATGTATGTAGAAGTTTCTTTTTGACATGTTTTATATAACAATACTCTAAATTCTCAAAATTATCTTGACAGCCACATCTATTTAAAAAATTTTGGAGCTCTTGACTCCATATGTTGTCCATTACTTTTGAATCACCCCTCGTGTATGTCTTCTTTAGAACTGATCAAGTACTGTTCAATATGTTTTGATGAATTGTGATATAAAAGGCAACTTGTCAAATTTATACATCAAAAGAGCAGCCGACATCCCAACAACAATACTAGCTGCAACCACTTTGTTCTTAACTCCATTTGTCTCCTCATCATATTTCACAGTCCTCAGTGGTATCATCAGGTTCTCCTTACTTTCAATAACACCTTTCCGTGCCAATGCCCAGTTGGAGTCAGGCCCGTATAATCTGTAGCTAACAGCGAGTGGAAAGCTGAACATGAGCTCATACGCAAGTTTCGGATCCGTGAAGAAGAGGAGGAATATTCTCCAAGGTGTTGGTCTCACACCAAGGATATCAGCCAAGCTCTCAATATAAGGTGGATACCATTCCTATATGAGAAATGTCGTGTATTCGTGGGTGGCATTTTTGTGTCACCCGTATGTATCACAAAACCAGCTATAGAACTACAGTTGCATATTAGATGATGTCGTGAGGCAATGAAAACAATGAAATCCCGTGCTAAGTCTAAGCAAATACTGGAGCTGGACGCGAGAAAGTTGCATCACTGGTGATCGCTCGATTACGCTGGTTACCAAAAGGGAACCGTTTTAGTAACAAAATGTCGGAACGTCGAAGGTACGATTTTTCTTTTTTCCTTATTTCATGCGTTGTAGGCAGAATCCCCACGAGGTTTTTTTCACAAACGTATATCAGTATCATGTGTTTTAGAAAATGTACATGTTTGCGAAAGATTAGTTCAGAAGACAACAGAATCGTCGATTTAATTCCTCACTTAAGTTACATAAACGGTTTGGGTTAAAAGTGCAGATCTTAACTGTTTTTCGAAATACCGTTTCTGTAACTTAAAGGCCCACTTTGGGAATTTTCAACATTTTTGGGCAAAATAAAGACTTACATTTAAATGTAATAGTATGTCCAATACTGCAATATGTTCTGTTATGTTTCATTTGACACTAACACCAGCTTAAATAGACCACATTAAAGATTACAATAAATTATCTTAAAATATTTTCCATCTGTCAAGCTTTATATATCAAGTTTTTAGCAATGCCATTGAAAGATGGCAGAGTTGTTTGTATTACATGATGCATTCATTTTTATAGAAGTGTCGCCATCTTTTAAATCAATAGTAATTTAAAACATGCACTTTGTTTAACATGTGCATGCATGTCTAATGATCTCTGAACTTCAAGTGCTTTTTTCTATTTGAGTTATGTTTTCCTTTGTTCAATATTAAAGCTAATCAAACTTTGTGTCATATTTGAGCCAGTGTGTGAGTAACATGTTTCAATGATTATTTTTTCTTTTTTTCTTCTAAATTAAGTTTAGTGCGCCTTTAAGTGAGGAATTAAATCGACGATTCTGTTGTCTTCTGAACTATTTGTTCGCAAATATGTACATTTTCTTAAACATATGATTCTGATACACGTTTGTGTTAAAAATGTTGTGGGAATTATGCCTACACCGTGCGAAATAAGAAAAAAAGAAAAATCGTACCTTCGATGTACCGACATTTTGTTACCGAAACGGTACCAGCGTAATCGAGTGGATCACCAGTGTACATGCAATGTATATGGGCGATTTTTTTATGCAAGCTTAAACTCTCTAATGCAGCACTCTAGCACAAGTATCTGTATTAAAAAATAATACCTTTATCAAGACATACCGTTTTCTTGTATTTATCATTTGCAAATTTCTCATCCCCGAATATCTCTCGGAGTCTTCTGCGATCCTCTTTCGAAATCTTTAACATAACTGCCTTGGATGGTAATTCCAATTTTCCTGACAGGACTCTTGCCGCTATTCTGGCCTTTGCAATGTAAAATGTACCAAATTACCAACACAAATTATTTTTGTTTGAACTATGGGTAAAGGCAAGGTCGAAATCAAATAGCGTGTATCTTCTTACTCGATTCAAATAAAAATACACGGGGGTTTCTAATCATGCATACGCAAGTGTCACTTTTAAGGGATTCTTTAGATTCTCTTATTAATGAGAATATAGTTTTCACAAACGGACTAAATAGTCATACAAAATTGGTGGGACTGATAGTCGAAGAGTTTGTGTGATATATCTTTGTATTTTCTTTATTTATAGGTTACATACTTTTAAATCAGAAATATTCCGGTTTGGCACTGGTAGGCAGGTTATTAGAACATATTTTAGGTGGCGGCTACTATGGAATACCCCTTCATTAAGGAAATTAATTATTTTAAGCAGAGTTCAAAACTAAAACCAACTAGTTTTGCTGAGATTAACGTTTTATTCTGCTGCATTGGTTTCATCTTTTATGTTTTTCAAACATTCAGTAATGATAGAACATGGTACAGGGTAAGTGAAGAAATATGTAAGCCAACGGAGTGAATGTTAACTAGACTGGGGAAATTGAACAAGTTCAATTTCAGACTCCAGATGACAGATCTTCAGGGTTTTTTAGACAGACAGATGGACGGACGGATGGAAGGACAGACTGGACTGGACTTGGACATTGACAGGACTCCGACCTGGACTTGGACTTGAACGTGGACTAGACTTGGGACTGGACTGGAGTTGACTTGGACCGGGACTTGACTTGGACCTGGATTTGGACCTAGACATTGGCCAGGACTTGGACCTGGATTGGACTGACTTTGGACTTTGACTGGACTTGGAGTTTGACTAGATCAGACATGGACTTGGACCTGGACTGGACTTAGACTGGCCTTGGACTGGACTTGGACCTTGGCTGGATTGAACCTGGGCTGGTCTTGGACTGGACTTAGACCTGGACTGGCCTTGGAACTGGACTGGACATGGACCTGAACCTGGACTCATAACTCATACGTTAAATTTGGAGAACTTTTTATTTTGACCTACTTTTCGGACACCATATCTCAAAAGTGGATCGAAATACTTTCTGACGGCAAAAGGCTAACACTATTAGCACACTCTTTGCTACTTGTATAAAAAGATTGAAGCAAATCATCTAAATGTAGTGTCAGAATCTCAAAAAAAGGAAAAACTATGAATTTGACCTAGATTTTGACCTAGGGATTTTGGTATCCAAATTTTGGAGCTAAGTAGCCTTCGAGGTACCCTTCTTTCATAAGCTTTCATTATATTAAGCTGTACTCAGTCTATATCTCATATTTTACACTTCAAAAACATCTTTTTTCCCATTGACATAACATGGGGCACCAAATTTAGCGATTTTTGAGCTTTCAAAACGCCATAACTTCCAAAAGAAAAACTTTGAATTTGACCTAGATTTTGACCTAGGCATTTTGGTGTCCAAATTTTTAGGAAAAGAAGGTTATGAGGACCCCTTCTTTTATGGGCTTCCATTATGTTTAGCTGTACTTAGTCTATATATCTCGTATTTTACACTTCAAAAAAATATTTTTTCCCATTGAATTAACATGGGGCACCAAATTTAGCAATTTTTGAGTTTGCAAAACGCCATAACTTCTGAACCGGAAGTTGGATCGAAATTTGGTTTTCAGATTTGGAATCCTGAGAACTTCCTATAAGACAAATTTCCTGGACATTGGATTCGGAGAACTTTTCTTTGGACCTCGTTTTCGGACACTGATATCTCGAAATCGGTTTGAGATACCAAAAAACTAAATCGACATACGCTATCCAATTTTTTTTATGAGGAACACAATGAAAAACCCGGATCAAAAATATTGAAGGACGACCGAGAAAATCGAAAAAGTGACAAAGTACTGGATTTGACCTAGTTCTTGACCTTTGACCTAGATAAAAATTTGACCCTATTTCCCACCAACTAGATACTGGACCTAAATGAACTGTATAATGGTCTTTACTGGATACCTTATAGACAATAGACTCCAGATTGACATCTGGAGTCTAATACCTCAGTCATTCAGAATGAATTTTAAGTCATATTTCACTATGGGTGGCACCGTGCCAATCAAACATAACCCCTCGAATATGTGATTCTAGGTAGTGAAAAATTGACATGTACATGTCAACGGTTCTTTTAAAATAATCTCTGTGAAATGGGCATTATATGGTGGGCTCCACCTAAACAATGTTGTAAAAATCCTAACAGTGCCAAACCGATAGGGTTCTGATTTCGAAAGAAAATAAGCTATATGAGCTTCAACATATGAAAACTGGTCTTAAAATGTGCTAGAGAGCCAAAAATATGCCAAAGATTAAGAGAACAAGATTAGGAAAAAAATGCTAAATTCAAATCCGTCTTTTTGGTCTATCTGCGATGGAAATGTGTTAAAGACATAAGCCATTGATTGAATAATCAAGAATCATCCCTGAAAATTTGAAATCAATTCATCAAATAGTTAACCTAGAAACACGAAGACAAGACTTCACAGACAAGATTTTAGTACGCAAAATCCAAAATGGCCAACTGAACATTTATTCAGATTTCAAAAATCTAATTCGTTCCAGATTAGCATAAATGAAAATTTGAAATCGATCATTCAAACTGTTGGCCTGGAAACGTGAAGATAAGACTTTACAGAGAAGATATTAAGGCGATCGAAAAATCAAAAATGACCATCTAAACACTTACTCAGAATGCCCAAAATCTTACAAGTTCGAGATATTCATACAAAGATCAGTCCTGAAAATTTTTAATTGATCCGTCAAACGGTTCACCAGAAAACGCGTAGACAAGACTTAAAGATATGGTTTTAGGACTCACATAAAAAGAATCATCCCTGAAAATTTGAAATCGATCCGTTAAACAGGTTGCGATGAAACGCGTAGACAAGACTTTACAAACAAAATTTTAGGATATGGCCGCCTTAACATTCACCCAGAATGCCCAAAAACTTAGTTCAAAATATTTACATACTACAAATCATTCCTTTTAAATTTTAAATTGATCTGGCAAACGGTTCAACTGAAAACGGGCAGACAGACTTTGCAGAAAAGGTTTTACAACGGAAAATTCAAAAATGGCTTACAATAAAAATAAAGTAGATATAAGGATTTTAGCAGGAAGAAGGTATCAAGTCGAAATTCTCTGTACAACATCTGTATGTATCCAAAAGCTATACCTGAAAATGAAGTGATATCTGTAGAGGTCGACAATATTGCCCAACACGAGGTGGTTGGGACATAAAAGGTAAATCTTTATTCCTCTTACTTGTAACTCAAAAGCTGCAGTGTTTGGGCCAAGAACATTAGCAATGCCAATGAAAAATAGGGACCGCGAGTCGTCGTCCACTGGAATCATGTATTTGTAGAGATTAATTGTCTCTAATGTACCTGCAACGAAGACCAAGAATGAAACAAAGTTTACCCCAAGTTCTTGACACCAACAAACACATAAAGAATACAGTCTTTGCAGTTAGAAGATATTGTGTATGAAAAAAATTGATTGGAAATGACAGATCGTTATATCCATTCAGCCATTGCTATATAATTACCTATGGGAGCTGATATTTCATCCCACTTTCAATCCTTACTTTAACTTCAAAGTAAATTGAGAACAATGTCATTCATACTAACCTAGACTATCATCCAGAAACTCAGTGGATGGATTAAAACCAGTTGCGAACACAATGTCATCAATATCATCTATACGACTGCCATCTTGAAATATTGCTCCAGTCTTTGTAATTTCCTTGACTTCTCCCTTCATCTACATGCAAGCATTTACACATGAATGATCATAATAAGATAACAATTCATATGAATGAAGTAATAGCAGATACTATTTATATTTTAATTAGTTGCCCATAAAAGGTAAGTTTACCCGTTATCCGACAGTCGGAAGTTGCAATCGCAAATACAAGCTAAGGAACTTATCTAAATTTTCAACAGCTGTTTGTCTCTGCTTTGTTTTACTTTTACAAATATTAAAGAATATTTCACGGTAGGTTCGATGCTGGTTAAGTGTTAGAGTTGAAGCTCTCTCATATATATTGTACAGTTAATTGTTAACCATGTTAACGCGATGATGATTTATACATAAAACAATTCATTTATATGCCATTCATCAATAGTGTTTTAGAACCTTTAATGCCCCTGCTGCAATACGAAATTCAATGTCGTCTGCTATAGCAATGGACATTGTCAGAAGTCCACGTTTAGGCTCCATACTGTAGTCTTTGAAATTGAATCGTTTGCGCACGTCGCCTCCATACACCTTGTCTAGTTCACTACAATGGATACACAATGAAACATAAATACTTATATCACAGGGTACGTTCCAAATTAAGCCTGACAGTTGAACGCACTTGCCATTTGTTAAGCTGACAGATGAATAATATCGAACTCCGAACACCAACCGCCGAACACCAACTGCTGCCGGAAAGAATTATACTACAATATATCACCACTTGTGGTGCTGACGTATAAACTGCTTGAGTTTGAGTCTAAATCATTGAGTTTCTCACCATTTTGAACACTTTTTTACTAAAGGAGCACGTAGGTTATCGCAAACAATTTCAGAAGGTTATATCTTGGATTATGACTATTTTCTGACAATGAAGACAGGTTTATCTTTTAGATCAATTCATTATCTCAAAGAAAATTATATACAGTAACAATAAAGTCAAACAAACTCGGAGATATTTAACTAGCAATCAACCCATCAACACACTTTTTCAAAGATGTTGACCCCATTTTCACCAAAAATGCAATCATTTTTTACAATGTTTAATGCATTACTATTCTCTATTTTGATGTATCAAATGGTTCTTAAAAGAAAAAACTTTAAGTGTTCCCCATGTTATTTCTCTATTGAGAAATCTCATGCTATCCATTGGTTTCAGTTCATTTTGGTCATCCAAATTCAGTATCTTTAAAGTCCCTGGAACAATCAACTTTTTCCTTTTAGGAAATTGAACATGTCTCAAAGCACATTCTAATTATGCATCCAACAATATAATAAAAGGTTGCATTTTTGGTGAAAATTAGGTCAACATTTATGAAAAAGTATGTTGATTGGTCCATTGCCCCTTCAATATCACCTAGGTCTGATTAACTAAATTATCAATATATATACTTTTCTTGAAGATAATGAATGGAACTAAAAGATACACCCATGTTCATGATCAGAAAATATTCATAATTCAAGTTAGAATCGTTTGAACTTGTTTGCGATAACCTACGTGTTCTTTTACCCATAAGCCCTATAAGATAAATGATACCAAAACAACCAACCCGAATAAACCCACACCAACTGAACAAAAAAGATATCTCCATATCATGGTTCATTTCCAATCCAACGAAACTCAAGAAACGACAAAAAATCATCTCAGAACAGGAAAACAGCTCCCCCACACTCAAGTTCATATCTCAACAACATGATATTCTACGATTATAACACTAACAGAAAGCTAAGACCAAGAACAAAACACTCGACTCATTGAAAAACAACTTACCTGTCGGAGACCTACCCCACATACCGCCAAACTCACCCCATCAACCGAAAACACCGCAAAACTCCGAAAAATAAGAAAATACAACCAAACACGAACACATTAACAACCCCTCAAATTCATACAATATCAACATAAAACATACCTGACAATATAAGTACAAACAATGAACCAAACAACCAATCTTAACTGCAACAATGAACCGACCACACCCTGATACAGATTACCAACGCCATAGGGCGAAACCATCCCGATTGAATACAAATACGGGAGAAATCTAAATATTTGACAATACGGAGAACAAAAACTAGTCAAAACCTCAACAAACAGACAATACCATGACCAAACACCCCCCCCCCCCAAAAAAAAAAAAGTTTAACAGATAGTTGGGTACGGTACAACACGATGGAGATAAAGAGTGAGGGAAAGTATCGCAACAGATTTTTGACAGTAAATAATTTTTTTCTAGTAGTTTCTGGCTGTACAAAAATGAATGCATATGAAAGGCCAATGTATAATCTCTAAGAAAAATTCAAAGAATGGTTTCAAGATCAATTGGATTATCTCATAAGCCATGTTTAATCCACCCACCAACAAGCTTTTTTCAAAATACAATCGTCATTTTCACCATCGTCCCTCATTTTTTTTACAATTTTCATGCAAAGTTACATTGTACTTGAACACATGTTTCATCACTTAAAATATATAAGGAACTCCTCGTGGATTAGGATTATGATAATCCAATATAAGGGGATCCAATGGGGATCTAAAAGCTATGCTTTTAGTACAGCACACTCATATAAGATGTCATTAGTGTGCCATAAAGTTAGTTCAAAATGTTTTCATAAATGAATGGTTGGACTTGTTTGATCCCCTGCTGTTTGATCCCCTGTTTAATCAATGAAGCATTACCACAGCATTTCCCCAAAAATTCTGAATACCTGTCAAATTGACTGTTTAATGTTTGAGTGCAGTTAAACCTGTGTGTATGTGTGTAAGTTGCTTTGTTTGTTTGTTTTTATCCATCTGTACTAGGTGCTTTGATGCCACCTTTGTTTAGTCTCTGGTGCTTGTTTTTCACACTGTGCTATCACTTGTAAGTTTTACACTGATGGTTTGTAGAAGTCTCTTTTTTTATTAGACTCCAGATTGAAAATCTGGAGTCTATTGTTTTCGTCAGTTTTCTTATTCTTCTTCTTATTATTCTTTTTCTAAACCAGTTTTCTCAATAACCATAAGGTCTTGAGTAAAGTCAGTCATTTGGTCAATTTAGGTCCAGTATCTAGTTCCTCGGAAATTGGGTCAAATTTTTATCTAGGTCAAAGGTCAAGAACTAGGTCAAATCCAGTACTTTGTCACTTTTTTCGATTTTCTCAGTCGTCCTTCAATATTTTCGATCCGGTTTTTTTTCATTGTGTTCCTCATAAAAAAGTAGGAAATCTAGGGTCGGTTTAGTTTTTTGATATCTCAATCCGATTTCGAGATATCAGTGTCCGAAAACGAGGTCCAAAAAAAAGTTCTCCGAATCAAATGTCTAGGATATGAGTCTTATAGAATATTTTCTCAGGATTCCGAATCTGAAAACCAAATTCGGATCGGACTTCCGGTTCGGAAGTTATGGCGTTTTGAAAGCTCAAAAATCGCTAAATTTGGTGCCCATGTTAAGTCAATGGGAAAAAAGATTTTTTTGAAGTGAAAAATACGAAATATAGACTGAGTTCAGCTAAATATAATGAAAGCTTTTAAAAGAATGGGACCTCAAAGCCATCTAGCTTCAAAATTTGGACACCAAAATGCCTAGGTCAAAATCTAGGTCAAATTCAAAGTTTTTCCTTAATTTTGCTATTCTGACACTACAGATTAATTATATTCTTCGAAATTTTGTATACATGTAGCCAAGAGTGTGCTAATAGTGTTAGCCTTTTGCCGTCAGAAAGTATTTCGCCCCACTTTTGAGATATGGTGTCCGAAAAGTTGGTTAAAATAAAAAATTCTCCAAATTTAACGTTTGAGTAATGAATTAAGTATAGAATTTTCTCAGGAATCCGAATCTACAAACCAAATTTCGATCCGACTTCCGGTTCCGAAGTTATGGCGTGTCCGAAAAGTAGGTCAAAATAAAAATTCGCCAAATTTAACGTATGAGTTATGAAATAGGGGTAGAATTTTGTCAGGAATCCGAATCTTTAAATCAAATTTCGATTCGACTCCTGGTTCGGAAGTTATGGCGTTTTGAAATTTCGGAAAATCGATCTGATGGTATCCTGATAGAAAGTCAAGAGTAGAGAAGAAAATATTGAAAAATTCATCCATTCTTCCTATCTGATCTTACCCTATCCTATCCTATCCCTCCTATCTATCCTTCCTTCGTATCATTTCCTTCCTATCCTTCCTATCCTATCCTCCCCTATCATATCCTTTCTTCCTATTCTGTTCTATCCTATCCTTCTTTCTTATTCTATCCTATCGTTCCTTCCTATTCTATCCTATCCTCCCTTTCTATGTTATCCATCTATCTTTTTCTGGATGACTCAGCTTATTTTGGATGACTCGGCTTATTCTGGATGACTCGGCTAAAAAAAGTCTAGATCTGGAGTCTGAAATTGAACTCGTTCAATTTCCAAAATCTAGTTATTTATAAGTTGCTAAGAAATTCTAAATACCTCTCTTTATGATAATTTCTATGATGCCTTATTATAGCATTTACTTTGAACAGGTTTTCTGTATCTTGTTTATCAGTAATGATTCACGAGGTACAGTGCTATTAAAATCATAAATACAGTACAAGAATTTAGTACATCATACCTTTGCCAATAATTTTAGTAAGACAAATATTTTGATCCAGCTTCTGAAAAAACATTGAACATATATGATGATGTTTTATAACACACTTCCTTATTTGAGTTTATCTCCAGATTGATTATTCAAATAATGAAATGAAGGATGATATGCTAAGAATAATTTTTGCATATTCATCAATTCAAGAAATGTTATCCTAAGAAAATGTTATGAGTAACATACACTCTTACCTTAATGTTAACATTAGGGAGATTAAGCTTGCATATAAAATCGAAACGCCAACCTATGACCAATCGCCCATACAAATGCATCGCTAAATATTTTCCATTCACATTTAGGTTGTGAAAAACATTGCAAGCTTAAAGTCCCTATTGAGAGTCTCTGAAAACCACAATCAATACCATTGAGTGTGTGGTGTATACTACCTTTATCATTATTTCTAAGATTTACAATAACATCTTTTTAGTAAAATGTCCGATTTTCTTCCATATTAATGTGAACAAACATAAACAAACATAGAATGATTCTATTGGTTGAGTCAACAATTTCAGTTATTAGGGAGGTTAAGATCGCACTATTTTGATGAACGTACACATGGAATGTGTAAACTTATGGTCCCCTATTCACGGTGTTATAGCATTATGGTTAGGTCAAGGCGATTTGCAAAATTTTGCGGTAACGATAACAAAAAATGGCGGATGGGAAAGGCAGCATGTCCTCTTTCTCGCCTGTAGGAAATATTCACAGATAAGATTTCCTTTTAAACTAGTTCCATTCGGTGACGTATATATGGATGGTTATAAAGACTGGGTCAAATCTGCCAGGTGGTCTACAAGAAACAGAATATAATCTGTAAACCTACCGACTGAGATATCAAAGTTTATAATATTTGGTCCATTCTCGTGTTGTCTCAGTACATGAGCCACTCAAAATATTAACTGTAAGTATAAGTAAACTGTGTATAACTACTGCAAATTCAAATTACATTATTATGGCTTGAGTAGAACATAGGTGGTTTCCAATGCTCAATTGGCTTTGCATGATCGTATGTAGGTTACATCTATATACCACAAGGTTTTTAGGCAATGTAGACCATGCCCTAACAACAAAAACAAAAATAAACAAATTACTAAATTTTTGTGTAGTTTTGAATTTCAAACTCGACAGTTTTTCTCTTATTTCATGTTATCCCCGGGCATCAATTTGCAAAGGCTACGTTCAAAATATACATTACTGAAAGTATCACCGAATGCGATTTTTACATAAATCGTTCATCCTTTCATTGATACACAGAAATAGAAAATAATGCGCCAACCTTAGTTTTCTCTTCCATCGCGGCCATTTTATTGGATAAATTAGTGAACGTAGCTGTCCAACCTCGTTTTCAGAGGTGGCGTAACCGTCATGCTATAACACCGTGCTATTGACTATTTTCACATCACTGGCCTCTTTTTGTTGCCTGGTTGATATAATGCCAATTGATGTAATGGTCCCCAGTTAAACCAGTTGAGAGATGGACAACATTACTGGGGGTCATAACAGTACTCGTTCATGTTCAAGTTCTCACACAAGTGTTTTACACAGTCTGTAGCCAGCTTTTACCAAGGGGTAGGAGCAGTTTTACCAAGGGCAAAGCTTTTGCCTAGGGATGAACTTTTTGACAGTTTTGGCTAAAAAATCATGCGAAGTGCTCAGATTGGTGAGAAACTGCATCATTTTGAAAGAATCTCTTGGGGGAGCAGCAGCTCCCTTTATCTCCCCCCCTCTACCTGGCTAATTTTCACATTTTTTATATTTCTACTATTCAAATTGACCAATCCCCATTCATGTCATTTTAACAGGTCCCTTCATTACTTTACAGCAGTGTTCATTAATCCCTTGTTTTCTAGTCGTATGTGCTTTTATTATTCAGTTTCACTATCTATTGTTTTGCCATGCCAGTTTTACATGTTTGCATGCTGAGTTTGTTTTATGTAATGTTTTTTGTTCCTTAAATGGTTTACACATTCACTCAGTTGAGTTGGGGTGTTGCCCCATTACTAGTTAATGTTGCCTAGAGTTTGTGACTGTACATACACAAAGTATTTCAAATATATATTTTAGAAAACATTTTATATTTGATTCCCACCCAAGGGTCTTCCACTCACCCATTAACATAAACAAAACATGAACTCTAATAAAAATGCCAACAAGACTGCAAGGGAAACTTAATCTATGAATTGGACTTTGCCATATCACATGTATTAGTCCCGTGATCAGGGAGGGGGTGGAGGGGGTTGAGAGACGACCCTCTCCCCTAGGCACATTTTCTGTCAACATCCTGCAATTTTTCACCACTTTAGTACTTTTCAAGTGATGTTCGGATGATGCTTTCATTTAATTGCTTGCACTGATGGTTTCTCTTGAAAATTCATGCACATAAGGTGATCTAGTATTTCAACACAGGACCCTGAAAGCGCTATTTGAGCTTGAAGTAGAAGTATTCATAGTATTACTGTTTGTATTATTAATCTCTACGATTTTTCAATAGGCTAACTCAGTCAGTGAATGCAGGATTAAAACACAACACACATGAGTAATTCACCCACCTATGCATGTTATTATTGAAAAACATTGCCATCTTTTACATCACTCCTAAATTATTTTTGTAAACATGCATTTTAAGAGGTTCATTTTTTCAAAAAAAACTCAAAAACAAACTTCATGGAGTTCCTTACATATTTTACTTGATGAAACATGTGTTCAAGTACAATGTAACTTTGCATGAAAAATTGTAAAAAAAATGAGGGACAATAGTGAAAATGACGAATGTATTTTGAAAAAGCTTGTTGATGGGTGGATTAAACATGGATTATAAGATAATCCAATTGATCTGGAAACTATTCTTTGAACTTTTCTTGAAGATTATAGATTCGCCTTTCCCAAGCATTTACTTTTTATAGCCAGAAACTACTCACAAAAAAATTATCAACTGTCAAAATTATCAAAAGTCTGTTGCGATACTTTCCCTGCTCCTTTGAGAAAACTGATGTTTTCACCGTTTCAGAAAAATCTGGTCTAATTTTTCGTTATTCTTATATATGAATGTCCTGCAACAATATCCAAGACGGTAAATTTTGACGGTGAATTTCATCGTTAAACCTACACAAACTCCGGATTTAGTACACGGTATAACGCGCTTATAAGATACGGTAACGCAAATTCCAATTCCTTGTGTTGTACCTTACCGTCGTGGTAAAGCGCGGGAACTTTTTCTCCGAGATAAAGTTCTCCCGATGCCCGTACGATGTCTAAGTATCGGCAGATTGTTACCGGTGATCAGCCGGCGCACGTACGATGCCCGTACGATGTCCGGTCGATGCCGGAGATTTCGGATGAGCTAGGCATCGCCACGGCCCTGTTTATCTGGCCGAATCCATCCGTCTAAAAGTGACAAATATTTACCTAACTTTGTAGCGCCAATTTGTGTATCTTGACCATATAGGTAGTAACTCCGCAGATTTTCCACCAGCTAAGCGGCTTAGGGGCCAAAGCCCATCTCTTGCACTCAGGTACGTCTTCACAGAATATTTATACATTTAATTTAATTGATGCTGTGTTAAGTTAAGGCTGGTTTGAGCTCATTGATCATAGCAATGTAATATTAAAATGAATGAGGGCAGTACGTACTGTTTTTGATTTTCTACTTCGTGTAACATTTGATTTAATTTCTCGGCACCTTATCTGCAGTCTTTTATTCATGATTCATTAAAAGTACACTGAAATCGAATACTTCAAAAATATATAATTATTTTACCTGTGATGTTTCTCTGCTTATATCACTTGCTACCTCAGTTGCCGAATTACCTCCTCCTAGAACAGAACAATTAACATCCGGCGTAAGAGGCGTTTATTGAATGAATATACATTCCCCTCCTTTAGTTTGGCAACGTTATTAAAGTCATAGATTGCCTATCAAAGCCTGTTTGGCGAATAGTCATAAATTTCAGAACCACCTATTATACCGAGATATAATATAAATGAAACGTTTTAAAATAGAGATATGCACAAATCTCTTATTAAACTTGACCATAAGCAGAAAATGGGTACCCCATTGGGCAAAATAATGTTAGTTCAATTTACCTATAATTAAGACATTCCTGTCCCGGAATACATCAGGTCTGTAATAATCTCCCGTGTGACTGATACGTCCTTTGAATGTAGCCAATCCTTTGACATCAGGTATGTATTGACGGTTCATTAAGCCATTGCATATAATCACTGCATCAAACATTTCAGTTGTTGGAGCAGGGCTGGTATCGATAATTGGTTTTGTTGTAACTTGCCATCCAGCACCGTTGGTTTCACGTTTTACTTTTATTACACTCGTGTTTAGTTTGATACGAGTTCTCAAATGAAAATGATCGACATAGTCTTCGAAATATTGACCGACTTTTCGCCAGGGTAGGTACATTGGAGCATCCTGTGAGAATATTATTATGTCATATTACATCGGTTATTTCAATAATAATTCTATATTCTGCTGTAAGAACAATTTGCAAAATAATCAAGGTTATTTTACCTTTGAAAACCAGAAGTCGGAGAATGAAAATGCCTCCTTGTTGTCATTTATGTGGCACGTGGCATAAGGTCTACATTCAATGTCAACTGGATTATTTACATCAAGACGCGACGCCTCGTCTTCCAAACACCATAACCCACCTATGATATACTTTTTTATTATATGGAGTTCACTGAATAAATTATTCAGCTGACATATATTGTCTTTGAGAACAGGAAATACCCAGATGCGAGTAAGTAGTTACCAGTCCACCACCAGGTGGCTAATTCGGGGCAGATAACATGGCAGTGTATTAGAAAACATGATCTGTCTAATACCAGAAAATGCATTTCACTTTTTGTGCTTGGATGGGGAATATGGTCGTCACATTTTGGTATGTCTTAAGATGACGAAAATCAAGATTATCTTTACTCGAATCTAGTCTATTTTGTATAGATCTTTTTTAATGGTTTCATTTCCTTTATTAACCATAGCTTTGCTCGCTTTAATGGTGTACCATCCACCAAATGGTTTTAAAAATCATTAAATGTGCAACAATAAGTGCAGAGGGGTCATTCAAGGATAATGGACCAGTGTCAAAAAATATTTTTGGGATATTTCATCAAGACTAACATATATTTTTATTATCTCCAAAGAAACCCCCTGGATGAACGTTATTTCAGCTGATATCAGTCCTCGTGAAACGTGGTGGATCCAAACCTGTAAGTGGGACTCCCTTTATAGAAGCCTTGAACTGAATTCGAATTTCTTAATGCTGAAATTTTCTCTCTACAGGCCTTGTTGCACCTTCAAGAATTGAAAATATTTCGCTATTTTTTCATTTTCAAATAAATATAATTATCTTCCGCTTTCCAATTACTGTGTATTTTAAATTGGCAGAGTTACCCCTTTTCTTACTAGACCCACTCGACAAAATCCAGTACATCACTGTACTACAAAGTATTGATTTAACCCTAATGTGTAGTGGTTCTGATTGACCCCCTCTCAGTTATTTCGATAGTATTTTTTGCAGGTTTTTGCGAGTTTTTTTGTGCTTCCGTTATTTTTCACAGATATAACACATCGTTTTGGTCTAAAAATCAGGGTTATCGGGGATGAAGGGGCAAAGGTTTAATAGTCGGAAGTCATTGTCAATAAAATGGTATTCATAAAATAATGAAAGTTACCTTGATTCTAATGCTGTTGAAAAAGTAAATCATTCTTGCCCAGTCATATACTCCTCAAAAAAAGTTAAGGACCAGTCTTTTTCATAATAGGTTAACATGTTAAACCCTATGTCTGTTTGAACTCTTATTTTCAAAGCCTGGAATGAATGAAAAACTGATAATGTAAATTACCTTGACTCTATTCTCTATATTTCAGAAAATGTTCAATTCAATATCTCCGTTACAATATGTGAAAAATTGATGTCAAATTTGAGGAAAATTTTAAAAAATGGCATAACCCATGTAATCCAATGGGAAATGGTTGGGTTGCCAAAAGTCATATGAGAAAATATGCATGAATTCAATTGCTCTCAAAAATGGAATGGAATGTAAATAGACAATTGTCTACAACAAAAAATTGATTTGTTTCTGCAGGTTTTACAAAGTTTTGAGACTCAAAAGTCAAAATCATTTCTAATAAAACCTCTCATTGAAATAACACAGGGGGTCGAAATGAGTTGTCAAAAATACGTTGATGCCCTATATCGGTAATTCTCACAAAGTAAGGTTAGTAAGGGTTTTTGATATATGTTTTACCAAATACATATCCAAAAATCTGATTTGCCCCTAACCCACCATTTCCCATTGGTTAACATGGGTTCTGCAATTTTTTTTAAAATTCCTTAACTTTGACATCAATTTTTGACCTATTGCAATACAGAGATTAAATTGAAAATTTCCTGAAATATAGAGAATAAAGACAAAGTACATATCCAATTACATTATCAGTTTTTCTTTCATTTCGGGATTAGAAAATAAAGTTTAAAGATGCATAAGGTTTAACATGTAAACCTATAAGGAAAAATACTGGTCATTGCCTTTTTTGAGGAGTACATAACCGTTGGACAAATTTAGTTCCCTTCCCAACATGCTATAGGAATCGAGCAACTATTGACCATCTCATGAATTCTTAAGGTAAAATACAGTTTATCGACAAATATTCGAGAATTGCGTACTCTTGAAAAATTGTTCTCAAAAACTACTTGCTGAATACCTTTTTGGTATCAGTATCATAATGATAACAAAAGGTTTGCAGACATGATGGTTAATATAACATACCTACTAAGGGTCGTTTTTCATAACATGTGACATCAAGCCCTTCTTGGAGACACCATCTGATGGTTGCCAAGCCCGAGACACCCGCTCCGATAACACAAACCTTCTTGACCATGTCGTAGTAGGTTCTGTTTTATATAGAAGACTGGACTATAATCAACTTCTGTCCACTTCCCGAAGTCTTTATATACAGTGATCTTTCAGTTAATGTTTTAAGGTCAATCGGTCTTATCTTTTGAGACCGAATGATTACTACACTACACCCAGAACTACACCATATCCAGCAATCGTAATGTTAAATCGGACATCACCTTATCTCCTAACTGGTACTATTACTGAGATTTCGTATCAACACTTTAGTCTACTAAATTATAGTTTAAAACTCATATATGTGAGCGTTAATGCAGGGGCATTTCATACAGCCTATAAACACCGCCCTTTCATTAAATGTGTTTTCTGGTGTCCTTAATTTCGCCAATTTCTTAAGAAATTGATGGATAATTTGAAGATTATATGATCAGACACATAAATATGGCATATACCACATAAGTTTCTCATATTTAGTTGTTGTTTTTTAGTTGCTGTTTTTTGTTGAACCATATATTACCTACATGGATAACGTATTTTATTTACAAGTAGGCTGCATCTTGTATTAGACCAACATAGCATCAAGTTTCACTAGAGCTGCTAAGAACACTTCTTATCAGATGTGTTGACAGCTCTCCTGATAAAGAAAGTGACCGGAGATTTCTGGATTTGCTGAAATCGTACAAATGTCACATTTCAAAGCACTGCGACCTTAGTATAATCAAAGACATTTAAATAAAGTACATCATTTTCTCATGAATCACCCCTATATATTGAAATTGCAATCAATAATTATCGATGAATCGTTGAAAATATATGCAACAAATCTAACATAATTTGGTATCGATGAGTCATAATATGCTTGTAAATAAATCAAGTAGTTCAAACTGGAAACCGATAATATCTAGTTAAATATTTATTCATTGAAATTGTTGAAATATTGTTGATTGAGACAATCACACGTCTCTGTGATCGCACCTTTTGCAAGCGGATTACTACAGATCCCCAAAATATACTAATGGGACAGCATGGAAACGTGAATTACTTTTAAGTAAGTGAATTACTTACGTGAGTATCTTTGCAGAATCATAGCTGAACGTGTGTAATTCACAGTCTGAAAAATTTATTTACAAAATTCACCTCACGTTAGATTGTGTCAAGCAAACCTAGACAAGGGGTTACATCTCGATGGTATAATTAGCTCATCTTGGAGCCTTAAATGCTCTCAGTGTTTGTTGAGCACTTGTTAGAACCAGTGATATTTTTCATATCAGTATAATATCTTCAAATCCAGAAATTACCAGACACTTTCTTTATCAGGGGAGCTGTCAACACATCTGATAAGAAGTGTTCTATGCAGCTCTAGTGAAACTTGATGCTATGTTTTGGCAATACAAGATGCAGCCTACTTGTAAATAAAATACAGTTATCCATGTACGTAATATATGGTTCAACAAAAAACAACAACTAAAAAACAACAACTAAATATGAGAAACTAATGTGGTATATGCCATGTTTATGTGTCTGATCATATAATCTTGAAATTATCCATCAATTTCTTAAAAAATTGGCGAAATTAAGGAAACCAGAAAACACATTTGATGAAAGGGCGGTGTTTATAGCCTGTATGAAATGCCCCTGCATTAACGCTCACATATATGAGTTTTAAACATTAATTTAGTAGACTAAAGTGTTGATACGAAATCTCAGTAATAGTACCAGTTAGGAGATAAGGTGATGTCCGATTTAACATTACGATTGCTGGATATGTGTTGAGTTCTTTTTAGAACCAGTGATATATTGCGGTTTTGCATATCAGTATAATATCTTTGTTGTGGTCTTGTTAGAACCAGTGATATTTTTCATATCAGTGCAATATCTTTGTTGAGTTCTTTTTAGAACCAGTGATATTTTGCGGTTTTGCATATCAGTATAATATCTTTGTTGAGGTCTTGCTTGAACCAGTGATATGTTGTATCCACTTATGTTAGGCAGTGATCTTTTAGTTTAGGAAAAGCCGGTGACCTGCTATCAGCTGCTGCAGAATGTAAACAAAGCCTGCATAGCTGACTACCACTGAAGCGCTAATGTGTAACTTGACCTTTTTTACATTGCTGGCATTTGGTTGCTATTATAAGACAGCCACTTGCTTGTGAGATGTGACTAGGATTAGGGTTTCCCAATTTTGGGGGTGGTCTTAGTAAAGTACGTCTGGGGGGCGTTTGCAGGAAGGGATCAAAACAATTCTTTCAATCCTGCATAGGCAAGACAATTCTCTAAATGAACAATTTTGAATCAAGTTGATCCCTTCCTGCAATTTTGAGAGATTTAATGTTCAAGTTGCCAGAATGTTCAGAGAGAATACATTTATTAACTAAACAGCCTGTCATCAAGGTGCTTTAATCCGATAAACTTTCACTCAAATTAAGAGAAACCCTGGAAACATTAGAGGAAGGGGTAGTACTTTCACAAAGTGTTAATTTCAAAACCCAACTTAGTATTAATTACAAGCTGTAATACTATTTTTAAGATGATCACACATTTTAGATACCAAAGAGTTTCTGTGTAAGCATTAGGCCATATGGTCGGAAATCCTTAAAGTCCACGATAAATCGGGCTACGTATACCACCGTGTTTACATGAGGGGATTAGAAGAGTTTGTTTTTTATTTAGGTATGCAAGCTATATCAATATTAGGCCTTCATTCATGTACTCGTGTGCATGTATAATCAGCATGCCCTTCAATATATATGTAAACCAGGCTATTCAAGTACATAATGTACACTATTTATGTGTGTACTACATTGGAATACAATTCCCTGGGAAACAAAACACAAATACTTTTTATATGTTCAAAATGAGCCATTTGATTGATGTATACACTAAATAGCTTCATAAATAACATCTACAAAGTATATCTACAGTTGGGGACAAAAATAAATGACAGGTCGATTTTCGTTCACCATTTCCTAATTATGGTCGTCTGAAAGTCCATAATTTCCAATATTGTCTAGATACATATCCCTTAAAATTTGTATATTTCACATCTCATCCACTGATGTATGGCCTCTTGAAAATTCTCTTATTTTTAACATGGGAAATTCTCACTTCAGCAAATCCACCTGTCATTTATTTATGTCCCGAACTGTAATAGTAATTTTTAAATTCAATGGTGAAACTTACTTGGTTACGATTATACGGGGAATCAACGCGGAACGAAGATTGTTCACCTTCCAGGCTTACCTCTGAAGCCTGTGCCTGGTAATCTCTTTATATAGGTTAGCGAGAGCGGTGCGCCTGCGCAGTTTTAAACTTTGGCGCACACTTTAAGTGCACTAACTAAAAGTTCATTTACGGGCCAGCATAACATAAGTTAGTGTATCAGTATAATATCTTTGTTGAGGTCTTGGTAGAACCAGTGATATTTTGCATAGCAGTATAATATCTTTGTTGAGGTCTTGTTAGAACCAGTGATATTTTGCATATCAGTATAATATCTTTGTTAAGGTCTTGTTAGAACCAATGATATTTCATATCAGTATAATACCTTTGTTAAGGTCTTGTTAGAACCAGTGATATATTGCATATCAGTACAATATCTTTGTTGAGGTCTTGTTAGAAAAGGTGATATTTTGCATATCAGTATAATATCTTTGTTGAGTTCTTATTAGAACCAGTGATATTTTGCATATCAGTATAATATCTTTGTTAAGGTCTTGCTTGAACCAGTGATATTTTGCATATCAGTATAATATCTTTGTTGAGGTTTTGTGAGAACCAGTGATATTTTGCATCTGTATACTGCGTTTGTCATGAAAAATTTCCAAATGTTCTCTGTTTGGGACATCACTGCTGAAAACACGATGTCTTTCATAACATACAGTATGTACCCTTCAAATGATCTCAACACAATATCCATCAATTAAAACACATGTAGTTAGTAGTGTATGTTAAGGAGGCACGGGATTACTTTGCGGTGTCTAAAAATGCGATGCCAGGAATGAGATACTGAGACTACTTTGCGGTGCCTAAAGTGAGATACCAGGAATGAGATGCCAGGGGTTAATAACATTTTTACTAATGATGAGATGCTTGCTTTTGTAGTAACCATAGTGATAACCTGAGGTTTGTGGTAGCTTCAATTTGAGACGCAACGTCCCAGTATATCATAAATATACTTGATTAAGAAAAAATATTCATAAATACTAGATCTCTTGAGGTTGAAACATGATTTCACAATTTTATATATACTTGAACAGCACTGATTCTATGGATACATATCCTTCTAACAATAATACCAAGTTCACAGTTAAATTACCTGAATATATTTCATTGAATCCTGATGAACAATGGCAGTGTGGATTGGTGGAATTGAGACATCCAACAGTATACGGGAGAATCGTAATGAATGTGATGTGCAATCTTTGTTACGGTACCATAGTTGGCGGTGAAAATATTCAGTTGTTAAGACAAGTACACGCTACCCAGGATGACATTTTCTACACTGGGAATTGTCAATCTTATAACCCTGTTCTTTATACACCCGTTATACCATCAGGATTCCAACACATATCTATCAGTATAAAAGAAGCAAAGGGTACCGAAGCTTTTTCATTTAACAACGATACGTTCTTTTGTGTGTTACACTTCAAAAAAGCGCATATTGTATAGACTTCAAGATGAGACTATCTAGTTACACACCAGATGATACTAAATGGGGGCACTTTTTCGCATCATCCGTGAACCGCAGTTTACCTATGAACTCTAAAAAATCTCAAAAGAACATTTCATTAAACGATAGCCGATATTCAATAAGAAACAACCAAGAAGGTGGGTCAACTATTAATTTAGTGAGCCCATCACAAGCTGTAGTGCAGAGAGCAAGTGCGGAATTGAAGAGAAGGAAAAGATCGAATACATTTAAAAGATCTCTGCAACCTCCAGGTAGACCAAATCGATTAATTGATAGCAAACGACGTAGACCTATTAAAAGAGCTCCGCAAAAGAAGAAAGCTGTGATAAAAAGAAAATCCAAAACAAACAATTTAAAGAAAAGATATAAAACTACCAGAGTCAGCGATATATTAACTAAGAAAAAACGAAATGGCGGAAAAGCTGGTAGGAAGTGATGAATCGTCATCCACAGAACTAATGCTTTTTAACATCCCATTAACTGATACAAGTATTTCTCGATTTAAATGGGTGGAATATCGACCAACTTCGAGCCTCACCCATGGTAGTTGTGTGGAATTTAATATACCAAACAATGGTATGGACTATTTGAGTTTAAAACGATCTCGCCTGCATGTCAAAGTAAAAATAGTTCAGGCTAATGGTGATACTATGAATTGGGATCCAAGTGACATACAGGGACCTAAAAAATGCGGTCCTATTAACTTGCTTTTACAAACATTATGGAATCGTATTGACATTCAAGTTCAACAAAAATCCATTACAGAGGCCACGCCTGATTTTGCGTACAAAGCTTATCTGCACGTACTACAAAACTTTTCTTCGGCGGATAAAAAGTCATGGATGCAAGCGCAGGGTTATAGAAAAGATGACATGTTTCCCGCTACAAATAATGTTTGGACAGGAGGGAACACAGGACTATTAATGCGATATATGGATTATAGAAACAGCCGAGAAGTAGAACTAACTGGACCGATATATGAAAGTTTTCTTCAATCGGATCGCCTGCTTCTCAATGGAGTTGAAGTTAAAATAAAATTATGGCCAAATAGCAGTGAATTTTGTTTAGTTTCCGATGATCCACAAAAATGGCGGTTAATTGTAACAGATGCTTACTTCGAGGCTTGCATGGTAGAAGTTAATCCCGCTGTTATTAAAGCACACAACGAGGTGATGCTTCGAACGCCTGCTATATATCCTTACCAGGATGTGGAAGTCAAAGTGAAAAGCCTAGCAACAGGCAACTTTAACTTTTCTTGGGATAACATATTTCAAGGACGTATACCCTCTTGCCTCACTGCTTTTTTCGTATCAGCCCGCGCCTATGCTGGTACATATGACACAAATCCGCTGTACATGGATCACTTCAACCTATCCAGTCTAACAACTCAGGTGGATTCTCAAGATGTACCTTCGAAACCACTCACATTAAAATTTTCCAGCGATCTAATTGAGAGTGAACAATATCTGTCGGCATATTTGAGACTCTTTGAAACATCATTACCAAATCACGACAACAATACTGATATCGAGGCGGACGATTTCAAATCAGGATTTTCGATATTTCGTTTCCAGTTGAATGCGGCAGACGAAAATAAAACTGTGTTCCCGTTACTTAAAGGAGGGCAACTGAAACTTGAAGGACGCTTTGAGACTGCCCTACAAGAACCGGTGTGCGTGATCGTTTTAGGAACATTCCATCGAATACTGGAGATTGACCGCTTTCGCGGTGTTACAGTTACATAATGAATACGTATCAATTGGAGCGAATCATGAACTCGGACGCTTGTCTGCGCTTAAAAACCCACGGTGTATACGCACTGGATGAGCTACCTGCAAAAGTTACGAAAAGACCATCCTATTTCATTGTTAACACACAGGATAGTTCGATGGTTGGAGAGCATTGGTGCGCTTTTGCATTTTATGATAACGCACCAGCAGAGTTTTATGATTCCATGGGACATTCGCCTGACTATTATAATTCTATATTTCAAGATATTCTTGTGAACAATAGTACGCATTTTTTATACAACAACACTAGAGTTCAAGGACTAGACACAACGTGTGGTCATCACTGTGTATACTATTTAAATAAACGATGTAGGAAAACTAGCATGAGATGTATTGTCAATTCATTTTCAAAGCACAATCTTAGAGAAAATGATGAGTTTGTCAAGTATTTTCTAAAAGTGAAGTACAATGATATTATGCTCACCCTCCCATCAACAATTTTATAATTGTACTTTTAATTTTAATAAATATAAACACAAAACAATTATTCTGTTCACTTGTTGAAGTTACAACCTTACGATGACGAAGGCTATTAAAAAGACTAGAAGTACTAAGAAAAAGGTATTATCAAGTTCCATGAAAAGAGCTCTGAAATCGGCCTATTACACGTTAGGTAGACCCGGCTCGTTTTCGAGTCCAATTCGTCTGTGGAGACAAGTTAGGTCATTGGGTATCACTCAAGCTCAAGTCAAGAGCTGGATTAACAATCAAGAGTCTTATGCATTGTTCAGAAAACCTAAGAAAATTAAGAATCGTCGCAAAATTATCGTTTCATCCATGTATCAAATGTACGATATGGATCTAGCTGATTTGAAAACATATTCAAAGTATAATTCAAAGATAAGCTATTTGTTAGTGATTGTTAGCGCGCTTTCCCGTTACATGTGGGTGCATCCCTTAACATCGAAAAGAGGTGGAGAGGTTGTCAAGGCACTTGAAGCGTTAAAAAAGGATATGCCTACTCCGCTACAGATAAGAAGTGATCAGGTATGATAGTTCACTGTTGGTGTACATATAGATCTGGCGAGAGAAAATAGAATTACTATATCAAAGCAACTCATCTTGCAATTGTATTAAATATTCTACAATATTCTAACCTAGATGATGATTCTGTTTCAGGGTGGAGAATTTGTGAATAAATCTGTCAAGGATTACTTGAAACGTGAAAAAATTGATCATATCTTAGCGTTTGGGAACATGAAGGCATCGATTGCGGAAAACGGAATTAAACGATTGAAGGAACGATTGGTGCGTTACATGTACGCTAACAACACCTTCAAGTATCTAAGCAGTCTTCCAGATATTGTAAAGTCCATCAACTCCTCATACATGGAATCAATTGGCATGGCTCCTTCTGAGGTGAACATATCCAATCAAGATAAAGTTTGGTATAAACTCTATTACGACTCATACACCAAACAACCTTTGGAATTTAAACCAAAATTTAAGGAAAATCAAACTGTGCGAATTTCATTGGAAAAGAGTGCTGATTATACTCCAGGCTACCTGATGTCCTGGAGTCAAGAGTTATTCATAATAACCTCAGTAAATCGGACTGAACCGCCAACCTATGGGTTGACAGATCTTAATGGTGAAATAATCAAAGGAGCCTTTTACGAATCGCAGCTGCTTGCTGCAAACGTTGAGAGGAATCAACTTTTTAGAATAGAAAAGATCTTGCGTAGGAGACGATTCAAGGGACGCAAGCAAGTGCTTGTACGTTGGCTGAATTACTCGAGTAAATTTGATAGTTGGTTAAACGAAAGCCAATTGAAAGATTTCGAATAAAAACCAATGGCAGTACAACAATGACCAATTAATAAGAAATCATCACAGCATACAATATCATCCTCTACTACTCATTCCCTCCTCCTCTCCTCATTCCCTCCCATCCTCCTTATTCCCTCCTCTCATTCTCTCCTCCTCATTCCCTCCTCACCACTCCTCCTCCTAAATCCCTCATCCTCCTCCCCATTCCCATTCCCTCCCCAACCTCATTCCCTCATGCTCTTCCCCTCCCTCATTCTCTCCTTTTCCTCATTCCCCCCTCCCCCTCCTCACTCCCTCCTCATCATCCTCATTCCCTCTTCCACCTCACTCCATTCTTTTCCCCCTCCTCTCATTCTCTCATCCTTGTTTCCTTTACTCCTCATTCCCTTCTCCTCCTCATTCCCTTCTCCTCCTCATCTACTCCTCTCCTTCTCATTCCCTTCTCTTCCTAATCTCACCTACATCAAATAATCGTGTTATGTCTCTGTACTAGGCTACTAAAAAGTAGATTCAGATATAAGTACATTAGTGATTAGTTGACATCTTCATTTAAACAAAACTCTTAAAAGACAAACACCATGTTTAGCTGTAGAGAATGTTCGAAGCAGTTTTCTCGCAAAGACAATACGATTCGTCACATGAAGATTGTACATGGCTGTAAGCTAACTAAAAACGATCATATATCTAAAGGACAGTATGGAATGGGATCTTATTCTTCGACAAATCAGGTTATGATGTCAACAGGAGATATTTCAAAGGTGCTCTACCATCCATTCACAATGATGGTGGTTGGCCCGACAGGTTCAGGGAAATCTACATATGTAAAGGAACTGATTGAGCATGCTGGTACTAGAATATCTCCAACACCACAAAGAATCATATGGTGTTACAGTCAATGGCAACCTCTATATGATGACATCAAGACAATCAGCTCAAATATTGAATTTATGATGGGGATACCAGACGAGCTGAGTAACCCAGAGTTTTTGGATGTGAATCAGAGGAACATACTGATCTTTGACGACTTAATGGGTGACATAACAAAGGATACAAGGATTACTGATTTGTACACGCGTGGATCACATCACAGAAATCTAAGTGTGATTTGCTTGATGCAGAATCTGTTTCCATGTGGAAGAGAAAGTCGCACTCTCAGTTTGAATTCCCACTACATTGTGCTGTATAAGAATCCTAGGGATCGTCAACAAGTATCTGTTTTGGCCCATCAGATGTACCCTGGAAAGTCTCACAAGTTATTGGATTCATATGAGAAGGCTACACACCAACCTTACAGCTACCTGTTAGTAGACCTCAAGCAAGAAACTCCTGAGAGTATGAGATTGTATAATCCTACCACAACTACAAATATAATGCTGCAAAAGCCATTAGCAAAACAAAATCAGGATGAATCAAATCAATCGCAACAGCGTGAAAGTAATGCAAATGTACTTCACCATGAGCTACCAGAAACACCTCAAACGCATGAAAAGGATACAAGAATGCATGATATAAAAACTGGACCTTCTCCTTGTTTGTCTCCTCATTTAATCTCTGGCGGATGTAACAATATGGTATCATGTGATAACTGTGGTTTAGTCTTTGACAGCGTACACGATTTGCAACGTCACATCAGGAATTGGTGCCAAGAGCAAGGTCAATTGCCCAAGAAAATGAAGATTGAAACCACCTCACAAATAGGACAAGATTCTTCCCGTGAAGAAGATGCTGATCTTACATTAAATGAAATATTTGTATATTTAAAAAACAAGGCTAGAAGTGATAATGAAAAAGATTATAATCATAAAGTAAAGGAGTATATGGATAGGGGAAACAATGAAAAGGAAGCTATGGAAAAGGCTGAGAAGAAACTTGTACGAAATGATAAGGAAAGATTTATGAAGCACTATAAGAAGGTCTTCAAACAAGTTTTCGGTTTAGCAGACAATGCATTACACAGAAATATTGTAGATGCAGTGAATGATATGTTGATGAGAGGTGTCTCTAGAGATCTTGCAATCAAAAAGGCACTTGTGAATAATGAACATAAGTTTAATGAGCTATTCATAGAAGATACAGATGATGATGAAAGCAATTCTGAAGCAAAATCTACTGATGATGAAGAGCAATCTTATAATAATGATGAAAGCAATTCTGATGAAGAATCTACTGATGAAGAGCAATCTTATAATAATGATGAAAGCAATTCTGATGAAGAATCTACTGATGAAGAGCAATCTTATTATAATGATGAAAGCAATTCCGAAAGTAATAGTACTGATATGACCAGCATTTAACATGTAAAGAAACTTATGACATAAATATAAGAGTAAATGTACATTATAAAACAAAGTGTTATGTCATTGTTTTGTTATTTATGTTACAAAAGAAACCTCGTGCTTCAAAAAAATGTGATCACCATCACTCTACGAAAACACAGAGATCATAATATGTGCATCATTTCTTATTCAATTCATTTCTTATCCATCTAAGATGAAAGTCTCACCTATGCATCGTTTCTTATTGAGTAGTAAAATAAACAAATTATTCTATGTTGTATCAAGGAACAACTTTTATTAATTTCCAAACTACACGATTCTCATATATGAGAGTATGTGTACAATATGTTGTAATTATATTTAAAATACAATTGTGTAGGTAGAACTTATCAAACAGATGTAAATATTATAGAACAGTTTAACTTAACGTTGTATTTATATTATATATTGCAACTAGACAACAGCAACGCCAAAGCGTAGCGAATCCCATCGAACAGCCATGGCTGCCATTTTTACAAAATCCTTCTACTACTTTTTCAGTTATAGCAAGAATCGTACATAAACACACATAAAAATGGCTACCATTTTCAAAATGCTCGCTAAGTTGCCAAAATGTCAAAAGGACAATTGCTTCTAGAAAAGCACATATAAAATTTCAACAAAATCGCACGCATGTACATGTAAATGTCAGCCATTTTGAAAAATTGCCTCCTACTAGCCGAAGTGTCATAAGATATTGTGCCATGCTTATAAGTATTCACATATCAAATATGAACAAAATCGATCCACTACTTTTCAGTTAAAGTAAAAAACGTAAAATAACACACGTAAAATGGCAGCCATTTCTCAAAATGGCCGCTTACTACCCAAAATGTCATGAGACAGTGTGCCAGGCTCATGAGTATTCACATATCAAATATGAACAAAATTGCTCTATTACTTTTCGTGTTATAGTAAAAAACTTAAAATAAAACACGTAAAAATGGTGGCCAAAAACCCAAAAACCAAAGTGTCAATAGACAGGGTGCCATGCTTATAGTATTCGCATATCAAATATGAACAAAATTGCTCCACTACTTTTCAAGTTATGGGGAAAAAACGTAAAATAACACACGTAAAAATGGCGGCCATTTTTCAAAATGGCCACCTACTACCCAAAGTATCATTAGACAGTGTAAATATATATCAAATATGAACACAATCGCTCCACTACTTTTCAAGTTACAGCAAAAATCGTAAATAGCGTGTAAGGGCCGCCATTTTACAAGTTGGCTGCCGTGTGTTTCTTAAATATCTACATTTCTAGCTTTATTATGTCCTTTGTAACTTCTTTACATTTAAAACACATTGCTATTACAGTTTTATATATTGTACCTAAATTACTGTAAAATCGGCATTGAAATGGCCGCCATTTTGAAACGAGTGGCCATTTTGAAAATCGGCTTTCGAGTAGAACTTCTATCGCCATAGGGCATATTTGTACAAAATATGAACAAAATCGGGCCAACGGTATTTGAGTTATCACCCGGACGGACGGACAGACGGACGGACTGACGTATGGAAGGATGTATGGATATGGACGGACGTACGGACGGACGGACGGACGGACGGACGGACGGACGGACGGACGGAGGCGTTCCCTATATCCCTCCGAACTTCGTTCGATGGGATAATAATTGAATCATTTATTAAAAATTGAATACAAAATAACAATAGACAGAGAAATGTTTTGTGTGATTTCCCATTGATGTAATTATGTTGTCTGCAATGAATGCTTTAGCTAGTACAACACAATTTAAAGATAAAAAGTGTATCTAATTGTCAAGCAGGTTATCACATGGAGAGAGATATTGGCACACGTTACAAGCCCACATACCCTCCTGGTTCATATGATCACCATGTAACGTGGCTATACAATTCATGTCCTCTATAGCTAAGGGAGGAATAAGACTGTGTATGTTTTTCAATACATCCTCCATCTCCTCGAAATTGAGGTACACTGACCAAAGTTGGGTAAATTTTTGTTTTACCCGGTCGTGGTAAGTCGATGTTACTTCGAAAAGGTTTATATCAGAATGCACTTTGAACTCGTATCCCAGTCCTAGGTGATGCGGTGCATTCAAAGGTGTAGCCAGTGCCTGGTTTGGAACGGCCAAATTATCTTGAATGGCACGCATATACTCCCGAATTCCTCTTTCTGTGCAGCAGGTGATCATGTAGTCAAACTCCTGTCGAGGTAGTCGTGCAAACTTCGAGCTGTAAGGCATACAGCCTACCCGCTTCACCTTGTTCACAACGATAAGTTTAAGTTTAAATGTTCGAATTACAACGTGATCTCCCTGCGTGTATATGAATATTTCCTGCAAGCAGGACCCGTTCGAAATCTTGAGCATTTGTGGCCATTCAGGTTGAATCGGATTGACGATACATCCAGATGGGCGCGCTGCATCTTCCAAAGTCAGATGAAAGTGTACTACACCATCTAGTGTCATTGGATGAGGGGGTATACCAAGCTTCAAGTCTCTCCGACAGCTAGGTTGAGCAGGTATACCTAGCGTCAACTCTCTCTGAAAGCTAACCATGCGTTTCTTGAATGGTGGTGGTGGTGTTGATCTTATGTTTTTTTGTGTCGCTATTCGGCGTTAGTTCGGGAGAGGCGCTCACCGAATTAACATCCTCAATGATGATGCATTTTGTCGTTGCATTCCACACTGTTTCAATTATTGCTGGAGATGACATTTTGTACTGCAATTGTTGAACATTACAAATTAGTAAAGTTCAGAGTCTATATATGAGACTTATCAAGATGTGATGCAACATGTGTTGTCATCCCGCAGATGGATGGTTTCTTCATATCTTATCAAAGTGTGATAATGTTAGCTCACCAACCCTCAGTAGTTATCATATTTTAGGAATCGCAAAGCAACTCAATGTCATTACAGTTAAGAATTTTCCCAACCAGCCAAAAGTTAAGTTCCACAAAGTTATCTCGAAGTCTAAAGCTTTGAAAAGCTCAGTTTTAAGGTGGCACAAAGGTGTTTCACAAAGTATTTCATGAACACAAGCTGAATGTTCATGGATGCATAGTGCATCTCAATGAAGCAACAACTTGAGGTCTTGCAAGGATGATTATGTAATGATTGATAATGTACTTACCCTTCCAATGTATTATCGTATTTGATATAATACAAAGATATCTTGAAAGTACCTAAATTTTAAGATATCACCGAAAAGTCTCTCAAACCAACTCAGTTTTTAAGGTTTCATTTCAATAATTGTATGAGTTCTTAATATGTCGTCGCAGTTTTAAGATTCCCTGACTTATCCCTGCTTTAAGGTTTCACAAAGGTATCTCAGAGATATCTCAATGTTAAGACTCTCTACAAAGCATTTCAATTAAATAAGGATACCGTTATGCGTCTCAAATTGAAGCTACCACAAACCTCAGGTTATCACTATGGTTACTACAAAAGCAAGCATCTCATCATTAGTAAAAATGTTATTAACCCCTGGCATCTCATTCCTGGTATCTCACTTTAGGCACCGCATCATTAGTAAAAATGTTATTAACCCCTGGCATCTCATTCCTGGTATCTCACTTTAGGCACCGCAAAGTAGTCTCAGTATCTCATTCCTGGCATCGCATTTTTAGACACCGCAAAGTAATCCCGTGCCTCCTTAACATACACTACTGTAGTTATCTCTAGAAAAGCAAGACATGTCTCCCTTGGATTATATAGGTGAGGTGACCTCAGCTGTTTTTCTAAACTGGCAGAACCAATATGGCTCAAAACCTATAATTTAAGCCATGCATGACTGTCAGATCCAGCCCAGACTGATTGTTCGGGTGGGTGGAGGACATATTCAGGAAACACTTGAACTGAGATATTAAATCTTCAGCTTGTATATTCATATTTACGCAAGCTCTTGACAAAATTGTTTTTCGATTTTATTAAGTACTAAAGATAATACATGACGAAAAAAGTTACAATGGATGGAAAATGTTCCTGAGCTTGAGTTTTAGCCCTCTCTCTGAATAATCAGTCTGAGCTTTATTTAACAGTCATACATGGCTTAAATGATTTGAAAAACAGCTGAGGTCACCTAAACCTATATCATCCAAGGGAGACATGTCTTGCTTCTCCTAGAGATAAGTACATACGTTTAATTGATGGATATTATGTTGAGATCATTCGAAGGGTACATATTGTACGATATGAAAGATTGTATTTTCGGCAGTGATGTCTCAAGCAGAGGAAATTTTGAAAATGTTCATGACACATTCAGTATACAGATCTTGATCAAGACAAGCAAAAAATAATTATACATACATATTTTTATTTTTAACATTTTCACAAGTAATCATTTTATCATTATTTGAATTTTTGTGGATTGACTTGCAATATTAAAGAAAATAAAATGAATAAAAAATGTTTCAATTTTTATTGGCCCACCCTGTAAAGTTTTATAATACTTATTTGGGATGCTGGGTTGCTATTTAGGGTCTCTAGATTTTAGGGAGAAAATAGTAATTTGCAGAATTATGTTAATCTTTTATTTATAGAATATCATTTTGTTTTTTTGTTTTTTTTATATTGTATTTCTTTATTTCAAATCATTTTGTTAGGTGAATACATGCTTGCATATTTGCATAATTGTGTGACTAAACTTACTGTTTATGAATTTCAGTGTTGTTATCAATAAATATTCAAAGGGGTCTGTTAAAGGACATAAAGCGTATACATGTATGTGGTGAGGATTTTATTTTTCAACAAGACATTGCTTGCCTCATACCATAGATCAGAAGAGACATTGGTATTCCTTTGCGAACAAGGTATCAATTTGATTGATCTAGATACTTGGCCGACCAGCAGCCCCGATGCTAATGCGGTTTATTAGCAAACATAGAGCCATCTTGAGGAAATGATACAATCACAAGCATCCAATAAACAGTATTGATGAGCTGAAACACAGAATCCCAAAAGTGCTGAAATGAATTGCAACAGAGATCTCTGTCAATAAGGCTATTGATAGATGGCGCTACCGCTGAAAATGTACTACCTTTGAAGTCAATGTACCCTATTGAACGTAAATATTTTTTATCCTGATTTGAAGTTGGGTATTGTTTTTTTGCCCACCCTGTAAATCATGTCCCCTACCCACGATAGCAAGTTTACGGTACCAAGTTGCGTATTGTTGGTTTTATCCCTGGGTATGAGTAAAACCCAAGAAGCACTCTAGCGCTTTCTACTTTTCAGTCATAGTAAAAAGAGAAAATTTAGGCAAGGACCGTAAAATTGTTTTGTCGAAACTAAATAAAAAAGATGTATCTACCACATTTTCTCAAGTCTCTCGGCCCATATACGGGTTCTATAGGCTTGGGAATGTCTTGTTAACAGGTTGGATATTTCTGTATCTATCCCGCTCCCGCCATGACATCGTAGATGATTTTTAAAAAAACAGTTGTTTTTGAAAAGTTCATATTTAATGTTTTAGACTCTTTTTTCAAATTTGAAACTTTAGAAGATTGAATGTGCCAAAAACCTCAGTGCATGTATGGGGTTACAACTATTTTGTACGATCGGTTTTGGGTGCTGTGTTTATCCCTATTGAAACACCTCCCTTGTTTTTTTTGCAGGAAAATCTGTGTCCAGAACCTCCAAGTATAATCCTTATAGATAATAGAGCTTGGTAAAAAGCTTTGCCCGACTACCCACCCTTCTCTCTCCCCCTCTTGACATAGTTTCGCTAAATGGCACATTTTGTATACAGCCCGCCCCCTTTTAGCTAGCTACTTATCAACCTGGTCGTTTTTCTTCCGTGGTCTAGATTGTGCTTGCCCAGCTGAGTATAAAATGGATCTGAAAAGTTTGATTATTCAAAAATAAAACATAATCTCCCACTGACATGTTACTTTTAAATTTATAGTTATTAACCTACTTGACGTTTTTTCAAATACTGAAATACTTCTGTTCAACAAAATATCAATTAACTATAGTAAACTAGCTATATTTGAATTTCTCCAATGACCAATGTCCAGTTGCCTTCATAAAAAATAAGTATTTAGCGACTTCAAAGCAAACTATTTGACTTTTTCTTATCAGAAATTGCACTGTGCGTACGATCTGAAATTGCACTGTACGATCTAGGAAGGCTATGGTAACCTTTACAAAAATCAAAATATGATGAAGCTATTATAATTTTTACAAGATGGTCTAAATCTTCACAATGCTTTCATCTCTCAGTTCGTGGTTGTGTATTCAATACCCCCGCCTATTTCAAGAGGGTGACTGTTAAAATAAGGATATATATTATCAATAAATTAAAATGTTATCTCATATATGGTAAATCATTAACCATTTTGTTGTCCGTATACTAATGAAAATTACCATAAACCATACTTAACCGTTGGACCTTTCGCTTCAGAGTGTGAGCTTGAATGTAAACCGCTAGATTAGCGTCGAGGATTTGTATTTGAAATAGACGTTACTGAGAATACGAAGCTGCTACCGTTTTTGGATTTAGGTATTTCAGGTAAATCTTTGATTTTTATATTACGAAATCCTTCTTACATTATTGTATGGAGCATTCCATGTACTAGTATTTGTATAATTCCGGGGTATAATTATTTATTGATTTTAGTTTTGATATATCGATGAATCACTTTAAAGATCGATTTATTTATTGCGCACCTGAGAAATTTGAAAATACTTTACCAGTTTGAATCGTGAGGTCATTATAAAACGAGACAATTAACGGAAATGGTGGTCGTAGACTATTTGTCATGAAAAATGTGATATTTTCAAAAACATGAACATCTCTGTCTGATCCCCGGCCTGTCCCAGTCATATTGATTGCGATATTGTGATCGACCTTTCCCTTAGACACAGTTTATTGACCAACATAGTTGTATTATTCCGTCGTTTCGAAAACTTCATATTCTACCTTTTCAAAGCGACTTTTATTTCATTATAATTTATTAAGTGGTTGTTTATAACTTGTGCAGAGTTAGTGGCCATGAGGATCATGAATAAATAAAGATTATACCATGTATACACAACTTAGATACATGAAATACTAACCGATTTCATTTCTCCAGTAAATAGTTGAGTAAAAGGAATTTTGTGAAAAGTGTACGTTTTTTCCTTTCTCTTATATTTGGACATAATTGCATCTTTAATCTTCAATAAATCCACTATGTTTCAAATCATATTTTCAGGTATTAAATGCTTTGATGATCCTAATTTCTATTTAACGTTATTGAACTTCAAACATAAGTGAAGGTAACACGCGCAAATGATATACCCATTGCATAGAGTGAGAGTATTGTCTTTAGTGTAACGAAATATATGAGTTAAAAAGTAATTTGTGACGTTTTCTTGGTCTATGGAAAAAAGCACTCTCCCCACGGGAGACGAATCTTTCGATGACCCCCTCAAATTGTCAATCAGGACCAGAATAATGTTAAATTCATTTTCTCATATTCTCTATTTACATGTTGATAACAGACAAGAGTACACCTGTGAATATATTACCCTATTTAAGAAATAGACTTACTTAAACTCTTTCAAAATTAGATCTTGGCCGTATTCAGTCAAAATGTGTGAAGAAGATCCCGGGAGAAGATCACTACTGGACATGTTGGTTTCAAAATACATGCACTTGCATTAACATTCAATTCAGAAATCAGACTCCCGTGAAAAAACAGTACTAGTTTAACATAAGATTCTTTTTAGATCGTTAAGATCTCGTGTCAAAATGTTATCGTTTGTCGTTATTGTCAGAAGCTAGTGTGAACAGTGGATCATTTTCCATCAGGGTATTTATTCATAGTAACGCTCAAATGCTCAATGACATTTTCAATTTGTTACACACAAATCTCAAGAGCAATTGCCTTCAATGATTAACGTTAATTATCCAAGTCCCGTCTGATAAACTCATATTAAATACACTTGGATGACATATCTATTTGATAATATTTTAGGGCTTGAATATGAATTTTCCACAAATATATCGACGTATCCATATGTATGTCAGATCGTAGACCAGTCTTATAATAAACCGAATCAGAGAAATATATGGAATAAAAGGGGACCGCATAGATGTTAGCCTGAGTGTAGCCTAAATACGACCACAGTTGCTTTATGCTTGCTCTTAGTTACACATTTATATTTTTGTTGCAATTTCAGGTCATCTACAAGAAAATATGTAAACGTCATCCAAAATAAACCTTTCCCGTACGTAACCATAGCACTGACAGAATGGAGAAATTGTGGATAGTTTTAGTTGCAGCTACAATTTTATATGGATTATGCACCGCCAAATCAATAGCACCCAGTGCAATCACAATCAGTGTAGCTGATAACATACAACCGGGAGACTTTGTTACAATTATCAAAACACAAAATGACCGCGCGGTCAGAATTGTGAATTCATTAGAGGGGAATGAGGACCTCTCAAACTATTTTGAAATAAGAAGCGATGGCTCAATATTTGTGAGCGACGAGCTCTCACTGTTCTCAAACAGTCTTCTCACGGTGAATATACTAAAAGAGCCTTCAAATATGATTGAAAGTGTGTATATTTTTGTAAATGGAGATAAACCAACTTATTTTGCTGGAAAAGAAAACGATCTCATGGGAAATGATTCCCCAAAAGTCTATAAAGACAGCCAATTGAAATTTAAACATAGTCATATCATTCACAAAAGAGCAGTTAGACCACCAAGGATTTTTGTCCTTAGGGAAAATGCCACTGGACAGGTATTTACCGTCGCTTCTAACCCTCGCGTAGCTGAGGAACGCTTCCAGTTCAGGGCGCCAGTCCCTCCATATTTAGATATTGACGTTGTTTCCGGGATGATAAGTCTAAAGAATGGCCAACAATTCAACAGAACGCACTTGAGATTCACTATTGAGATCACGAACACTAACAATACTTCATGTGAGTACTCCAATGTCAATTAATACCTAGTGTATGAATCACGATAGGCTATATATAGGGTGTCTCAAAAAAGTACCCAAAGTACACGTATGTCAACAGCATGGGATATGTAACTCTGGAAGGTAACTCCTGAATCAATATTTTCCGACATTTTTTGCGTGTTCTTTTAGTCAAAACATGAACGTTTTTTCCCCTATACCAGTATACACAGTTTTTAATTCAGCTGTGCCTTTTAAATACTTTAACCTGTTACCTTTTGCATCACATATTCAATGTAACCTCATATTTCAATGACAGTCTGCATCCTTACTACTACATCAGGCCCGTAGCCAGGGGGTCGATGATTCGACCCTCTCCCCCCCCCGGTCCTTCAAATAGCCCCAGAGAATGAGTATGGGCCGTCAAGTCTGGTGAATAGGGAGGCCCTAGTAGTCTTATAGCCCCTTTACTTAGTATACAGAGAGGTCAGACGTTCAAGAAACTTAATTGGTTGGGATTCTAGTGTAGCCTTTGTTGTTTGTATCAATTGGATACAGCCTGCGTACACGTAACTCTGGAAGGAACTCCTGAATCATTTGGCGATAATTGACTGACATGATTCTTTGTGTTTGTTATGCCCCCGGGGTTCTGCCATCGCCATCCTCAAACATCTTTCTCCAGTGGCGTAGCCAGGATTTGGTGACCGGGGGTTCTATTTTTATGTTATTCACAAATCCCCCCCCCCCTTCATTAGGGTTTCTCAAATAATGCAATGTGTACAATTACACTCCCTCCAAAAGTTTGGCAATCCTAACTACCCCATTGGATTATGTATTAAAGCATCTTTAAGTTTGAATTCTTATTTGCATAATTTGTAAAGAAAAAACTATTTTGGGAGGGGAAATATAATTCATTGCAATACCTTCATTAAAGGCAGAATCTGATCTATAGAGGGTGATAAAATTACAAGCAACATGTATAATTGACCTACCAATCTATTCCTTAAAATATCAAATACAATATCTCCCAAAAGATTCACAACATTTTTACATTTTTGTAAAAAATCTTTAGTTTTCCTGGAATAAAGTATGCACTGTTGTGATTTTTAGAAAATAGACATGACAAGGAATGACATGAGAAAAGTCTGGACGTAAAAATGATTTTCAAAAATGACCTTGTAGCTTTGCAACTTTAATGTTCACAAAGTAAAATAAACGGGCAACGTGCAAAAAAGTCAGACAACTTGTAATTAATTTTCTGCATCAAAATATACTTCGGTGAATCTTTTACTGAATACATATCCTGAAATCTGATTTGCCCCGAATCCACCATTATTTCGAATGATTTCTGGAAGACCCTGGAGCATGATTTGTTTCCAAGGAATATAAACTATTTCGCACAATTTATTCTTTAACTTAAGCTACTTCATCTAGGACGAAATAAATCACCTCATGCAATGGCTTATCATTATTTTTCAGTAAATTTGTTGGAAGCCAGTTCGGATCAAATGCAAGGTTATTGAAATTGACGCAAACACCCTATACTCCGAAAGATCGTTCTTCTATGATAACTTTTCACAACGTTTACACGAAGGCTTTATAAACTATCCGGGATAGTCGTACTATTACTGATGAAAATATATATTATTCAAATAAGTGGGTCTCGGTTATGCTTTGTTTTAAAAAGTTAAAAATATTTCTTTGGACGTCATCGGAGCTCAGTGGTAAGTCCCCCAGAGCAGATCAACCGCAATTGATAATAACAACGTTTTAGTGGATAAAATTATATAAATAAAAGCGACTGTTATTTTGTTAAGTTCAGACGGCTTGATAACAAATTAGGCCTTCATTATTAATATTAATACCATATAATTTTTCAATGTTTTTTTTATTATATTCGCTAAACATATCATGACATTAACATGAAAATGGAGAGCAAGTAAACTAGAACGATAACAATTTGAATTCTATACAATCTCTTAGATGAGTGGAGTGTATCTGAAAAAAAAATCATTTTTTGCAATGATTGATTTTTCTTTGGAAAGTGATGGGTAAATAAATACTGATCAAATGAAAGAATGAATAAATTTTAACAAATCCTTGTGTTTATAAATGATATACGCTTTTAGATAATTCATTTCACAACGTTTATATTATTAATTGGTTTCGGGGACTTCGACTTGCCAGCCCCAGGGACGCCCCAAGAAATATTTTAAATTTTAATCGAAATAAAACAAAACAGAGATGTACACATTTGAAAGAACATGTGTTTCATCAATATTACGACTATTCCAGATATTTATTCACCAATGTTGTAAAAATCATTCGGAGTATGGGACGTCTGCATTGTTTTCAATAACTTTCAATAACTTCGTATTGGACCAGAACTGGCTTAAGACAAAATTCCTACAAAGGACTGATTTAGCCATTGCCCAAGATGGGTTATTTTGTCCGAGATGAAGCATGCTAAACGTTTTGAGGGAAGTGTAACTTCACTATGACATGTTTTTAAGAAAATAATGCTCTCATGTTCACCATAACAAATATATCAATTCATTTACTGCTCATATATGTAGTTTTCAAATAGCACAGTAATTTAATGATTCTGGTTATATGCATTTTTTCGCAAAATGATATTTTGGGAAATCCTGACCGGGGGTTCGTTCGAACCCACCGAACCCCCGCTGGCTACGGCTATGTTCTCTGTGGCTATTTGAAGGAGTGTTTTAATGCTCATTCCAAGCAAAAATACTCAGAACAACTTAACATTCAAAGAGAAATCCCAAAAAATCTACCAGAATTATTATCACTTAACAGTTATACAGGCTGTCATCGAAATATGAGGGTACATTGATTATGTGGTGTAAAAGGTAAAGGGTTAAAGTGTCAATAAGGCAAGACTGAAATAAAATAGTGTATTGGAGAGAAAACTTTAAATAATATTTTGGCTACATTACATTCTGATACTCATAGCATCTTTCTGTTTCACCTGAAACATGAACTGAAACAACATCTCAGGGCTGAGAAGAATTAAATGAGATGTCATGGTTTATCATGATGGCTACACGACCATGCAAAATTAACATGTCTGAAAACTTATATTGATTGGTTTATCTGTGCTGTTGATATACTTTTGGGTACATTTTTAGACACCCTGTATGTCTGATGTGGAAGGGGGGGGGGGGGTCTGTCGAGGTCAATGAATTGTTATTATTACCCAACTGATTCCCAAGCCATTGCACATTTCCGAGACATTGACCAATTTCAATATTGGACGAAGATCTTACTTTGGAGATTTATATAACCTATTGTGAATATGCAGGCCTTGGTCTACCGGCCTATCTATGCGGATTGCCAGTCTGCCATGCCTACCATTTTTCAAATTTCCCGCCACGTGTAACTTTTTTTGATAAGCCTAGTCTTAGGCATGGGTGCGAAACATTGCGAGCACAGTGTTGCTAAAGTTTGAGAAGATACAACTTATTTCGAATTTTCCTCTAATTGATATTTTTGAAGCGTTTTCTAAGGGATCGATGTGAAAGATGTGTCCCAATGATTATGATATGAGTTTGATAAAGTTTGATTATTAAATCACCGGGAATTTCGTCACATTTTTGTGGGCATTTAGTCCAGTTGTTTCGTCCAGTGTTTTCTAAAAGGAAAATAATTTGAGGGACTAATTCTGTGAATTAGAGGAATATGAAGCCAAATTACAGCAATTTGACAACGGGATATTAGATGGTCGTTGATAAGTTTTGAACGGATTGGCTGGGAGTGGGGAAAGGTGACTAAGATGTGGAAATCCATTGAAAATGACTCAAAACTGAAACTGCCGGAAAAAACTGAATGAATGAATTTTTTTGGTCAAAGAAAACACAACATCGGGCCATAAGCCACGACCAGAGCCCCGAGACTCTGCCACAACCCTCATCATCTGGTGATTGGATCCGAGGCTAACATTTTATGTAACCAGAGACGTCTCTGGTGTACTGTAACTAAGCTAGCCATACACCAATGGGGCATGAACCCGGGGGCATAAAGGGGAACATTCCCATCGACCATCCCTGAGAGTGAGACATTGTCCGACGTAGTCTGATTTTGTTCCAAGTTGTCCCTTAATGTCCCAAGAAAAGAATGAACATGTTAATTCTTTTCGAGGTACGTGTACCATAGGCTAAGGGTTAAGTAATAGTAAGCTGTATATAGAAGAGTCTCTTCTATATACAGCTTACTATTACTTAACCCTTAGCCTATGACGTGTACATTATCGGACAAATGAGGGACATGTTTGTTTGTTATAAACATGTGATGACCATTTTTGGACAGAAGGGTGCTACATGTATATCCAGACATCATCAGATCAACGTAGGACATTGTCCCATAATATCTTGGGGACAATAAGCGAACAAGTTGGGACAAATCAGACAAAGTCGGACAATATTAAAACATCTGATCAATGTTTGTTTAGCTTTTAAATGTTTTTGCTTTCAGTTTTGGACAACCTGCAGATTACAAACAGTGAATTTTTATTACAAATTTGAGTATTCATAAAAATGATTACAGTTTTTATCTACTAGCCTTGACCATTTAAGCCCTTTATATTTGCCCATTGCTACATGTTACACTACTGAGGACTATATACTGTCTTCTACATAGCTTTGCCTTCTTCCAAGGCCTCCTCTATATTCCGTGTTATTGGCTAGAGACTTGAGTGAGCATGATAGCCCATCCCATTTCAGGTACGCTTCAGATATATTTGTATACTCATTATATGAAATTGTATTTCAGTTTTGGACACTCAACAGATAACAATACATCTACTAGCATTGAATGATCCAAGGCCCATATTTACCAACCGTTATCAACCACTGAGGGCCACTGCACGTCCAATCACGCAGCCAGGAACAGTTTTATATACTCTTATTTCACGTGATCAAGCACTTGGGGCAGACATCATATACAGAATAGAATCAGGTATATAATGTGTAAAACCATACTATTATACTTCTGTTTGAGTGTTTCATCAGTTTTATGAATCCCATCAATAAGGAAGCTTCACATACTTCCATAAACAAAAAGTGTTTGAACAATTACAGTGTATCAAACATTATAATTTTGAATTGTATCTTTTCTTCATCCTAGGTAAAATAAGACCCAATTTTTTATTATAAACATGAAATTTACACAAAAAAATCTCAACATGCTGATCTAGTTTTTTTTTTGTTTTTGTTGTGGTCTCCCTTTTGTGACGACGGTAGTTGGTGATCAGCGATTGGCGATTGGCATCTGTAACAAATGGTGGTGACATTGTGCATGTTAATGCCTTGTTTATTCATGGAATTATTATGAAATCATTGATTTATATGAAAAACATTTTGTATACATGTTTCATTACATACTTGAAAAAACACACAATCACCAATTACCAGTTTATTTCACTTAGTAATGTATTGTGGGTAAAAAATTCACAACCAAAATGAATTCTGGGTAATAACACAATGGACAACCATCGGGATTAATAATATTGTGACAATTATTGCAGGGAGTGAGGGACGATTCATTGTCAACCCTGACAATGGCAAAGTTTATCTGATTGGTTATGACCAGCTAGAGGCCCGGGACTACACCCTGGCTGTCTCTGCTAGGGACAAAGGAGCACCAAATATTGAGACCACGCCCACCCAGATTCTTACAATTCATTGTAGTCGTCAACCCCCACAGTTCTCACATCCTTACTATGAACAAGATATTGACGAAGAGATCCCTATTGGTCAAACGTAAGACATATTTGTTGTTTATATTATTACAGTCTGTATATCTATTATTTTTTGAAGTACAGTTAAATGTTTCTTCAAACATTTGTCAAAGCTTGCCTACTTGATTTTTCCTTGACAGTTTTTTATATTTGTAAAGCCCCATTGTAATAGATGAGGAATTTTGGAAATTCTCAAAGATTATTGAGTCCACACTAGGGTTAAAAACTCACAACTGTTGACAAGGCAACCACTTTTCACTCCGCAATGGAGTTGGAAAAACTGCTATACATGTACGTGTACATTGTACATGTACTAGTACCATTAGAAAAAAAAGCTATGGTAATCATCATATTCCATGATATTTTCCATGGTATTCATGGTTTACATGTAATTCTCATGGTACAGTATACATGTATGTATCATAGGGGGGAGCTAACAACAGAATTGTCTACAAACATACATAAAAGATAATGCCTTAAGTACAGTAATCAAAAATTAATATAATCTACCTGTAATTAAAAAAGATAAGAGTTTCATTTGCATATTCTTTAAATATTCTGTTGAAATGTTTTATGTTAATTAGGTTTCTTAACTCTCATCATATACATGTACATGTACAGTATGTTAAACATTAATCTCTTGCATCAATATATAATCATCATTAAATCAGAGTCATGTAAAAACATGGAGGTTTTACTTCAAGTTATAAAACAAGAAGGTATTATGAGTACGAGTTTTACAAGTTAATGTCTCTGAACTGTAATGAAAGGAATCTGGTGAGTTGATTTCATAACTTTTTTTCTTTTTCTTTTTGCCTCTTTTCTGCCTATTGTCATGGTGAAAACCATTTATGAAAACCATGAATGAACAAGGAATACCATGGACGTACAGTACCATTGAATATCATGGTCATCACAGCTTTTGCTTTATTTCTTAAAAGTGGTTGCCTATGGGCAATAATATTGGCAATGTTCATAGTTGCAATTGTGTTTTTAACTCAAGTCGTGAACACAGTGTTTCGAGTTCTTGGGTATTTGACAGCAATTATTGTATAGTCTTATTTGTAGGGCATTTACATTGGATGCCTACTCATTCAAAGGAGTCCCGATCACTTATGAGATCCAATCAGAATTCAACACAACTTCTGAGGATTTTAGTGTTAACAGTGCCACAGGAGCGGTCACTGTGCTGAAAAGAATGGATTACGAGACCGGACCCTGGCAATACAGATTCAGGGCCTATGCTAAAGAAAGACCCTGTAATTCATGGGGAAATTGTGAGTCAGAAGTAACTGGTACAGTAGAGGTATGTTAGCAATAAGTACATCTATCTTTGTGCAACACACCTTGAAACACTTTGACAATTGTCAAATGGTCAAATAGCTTCATACACAATTTGTTCCCACAATTTAAAATGTGAGAAGCACATTTGTTATCCTAGTTCATGGAGATAGCCAACTTAAATTTATAGAGGTGTTTTGAGATCTCCTTGAAATTCTTAGCACCTTGCCCTACTTAATATTTATATTTATTTTTGCTAATAGGTGACACTGAACATACAGGATATTAATGACAATGCCCCATTCTTCCAACTTGCTACATATGTGAAAGATGACCAACTGGAGACTGTAGGTGTTGGCTCAACAGTTATGCAAGGTGCGAATGCATTAATCAGATATTTGACAGCAAATTTGAATTTGTGGGGACAAATATTGCATGAAACTTTTTAGCTTAAAGCAAAGAGCAATTATTCTGGGCAATTTGCATATTTTAGTTCAATGTAAAAAAACTGCACATTTAGCAAGAGCAACAATACTGCAATGTATTACAGTATTGATGACAACAACCTGCATATTTTAACCCAAAGTTGAAAACCTGCACACTTATCCCAATTATGAAAATTCCAATACATTGTATCTACTGTATATGATAAAATTCTGTATACATTGTATTCCCTTACATGAACATGTCCTAAAGCATTAATGTTTTGAACATTTCAGTATCTGCCAAAGACATTGACTCCGGGTTAAATGGACAACTTGTGTACTCAATGGATCATGGAAACTTCTCAATCAAAACAGAGGATAATGCTGGAATTATAACTACTAAAACGTAAGTATAAATATTGCCATCGTAATATTCTAGCTAGAAACTGGAATCATACATACACGAATAACGAGAGTATGCTAGTGGTGTCAATTAACCGCTTGAGCATTAACCGGTTAACCGGGAGTTTTTACCGGTTAAAGTCGGTTAACCGGCGGGAAATTTGAACTGATAATTTCAAATGAAATCTTCATCTTCGATCTTGAAAGTTGAAAAAAATTGAAAAATGATATATCGGCGTTTATTTTTTACGTTCGTCAAGCTTTACTCTATTCTATGTAAGTAAGCGCGGGAAAGCAATGTGGCAGGGATTAAAGTTGCTGATTGGATGTTTGTAAGGAATTATCAGACCTATCACATGTATGAGTAGCTCACATGAAACTGACGCTTGAAAACCAAACAGATTAAAATGCAAAGTAAGCGCGGGAAAGCAATGTGGCAGGGATTAAAGTTGCTGATTGGATGTTTGTAAGGAGTTGTCGGACTTATGACATGTATGAGTAGCTTACGTGAAACTGACACCATAAAACCAAACGGATTAGCATGCAAAATAAGCGCGGGAAATAACAGAATTATACACGGTCAACTAACCGCCCATAAAAACACAGACCGGTCAAGGCATTATCGGCGGTTAACCGGTTAATACTTGACACCTTTAGAGTATGCACAATGCATGTGTTTGTTAAAGCATTAGCTAACATGATTTATGCATGTGGCAAATTCTGGCTTAAAGGGTTCCGATAAGCTTCCCGTATAAAAACAATATGGCGGATCCAGGCTAGTCAACTGGATCAGTTTATTTTGAAGAAATAAGGGAAGTTTTGTAAAATCCATTTCATTGAAATTGTCTTGGAGTAAAGTAACCCGTTTGTAAGGATTCTGGAAACATTATTGAGAGAGTGATTGTTTAAAGAATGCATGTACAACAGCCAATATAAATCCTTGTATAAGAACTGCTTTGTTTCATTTGGAGGATATTTCATATGCCAACTGAGAACTGGGAAATTTAGATGTCATTTTTTCCTTATTTATAATACACAAATAGAAGATCCTGAAACTTTATCCATAAATGTGTCAAAACAAAAATCTATGTGTGACGATCTATAATGATATATAACAGTTAAAGGTGTTGACGCAACGACCTCGCCTCTGTGAAACAGTGAGCAACATCAGAAATGAGCATTCGATTTGCTAAACGATATGCGTTACCCTTTAAGGATACTAACTTGAAAAAGTTACAAAACATGGGACCATAAAGCTTATATTGATCACTCATGATTATAAGAGAGACAAGATACTTTTTGCATTATAATCCTGAGTAAAGGGCAATTGTAGATTTTTTTGATGTATTTTCAGGATAAATATTGATACATTATCATTCTTTTTGTAGTATGATTGACTATGACCTGACCCCCCTTCACATGTATCAGTTGAATATAGGAGTGACTGACAGTGCCCCAACAAACCCAAGGACAGCTACCACCATGGTCCAGGTAAGGAGAATATAATACATGCGCAAGGGTCCATTGATTGTTAATGGATTCAATGAGACACAAAGCTCATTGCATGAATTTAACATTATCTTTATTGTTTTTACGTTTTAAATGTGTGACATGTACATAGGTATTTTCATGTTTTTATGTCACCACCACTCGAAGTAGTGACATATTGCTTTATCATGGATGGTGTTTGATGGTCGGCATTTTGTGGTTGGTGTTTGGTGTCTGTAACAAATGATAGGTGGTGCCATTTTGCATGTTAATGCCTTGTATTAAATGCAGAGGTACTGAGCTATAAGGGTAGGGGGGAAATTGCAACCAACATACATGTAGTTCACCTGCAAATCAGGAAGCAATATTCTGAAAAGCTGCTTGTTATCTAAATGGTGGGACTAACTAAAATGAACTAAATTATTTCCCATCCCACCCTGTAGATCTGATTCTTTATTAACCATTTAACTAATTAATGCACCACAGTATATCTATTGTCAGTAGGAAAAACAATTTTGTGAGTGATATTCTCAATGACAAATTTTAATGTTTGTTAGGTGAACATGAGGAATGAGAATGACAATGCACCACAGTTTGTCCCTCCAGAGCAAACCATCAGACTAAACCAACAGGCACCCCGGGGCACATTAGTGGCAGTATTACAGGCATATGATTTAGATGGAGATAGGATAACTTATGAAATCAGATGTAAGTAATTGACAAAAATGTGAATTAGGATTTTTAAGACACACCACCAAGAAGTGGTGGAAATATATAGCCAGTGTCATTCGTAACACATTGGGTGTCTGTGAAAACTGTTACCCTTTTGTAACATTTTAGAATAAGAGAGGCTGTCATTTTGAAGTGTGTCTAAATAATTTATTTGTAATTTCACCTTCAATTGAACAATGTCTGAATATTAAATGTTTTGGCACAGCACTAACCTCTCTTTCATCACACCTGGGATAAGTTCTTGAATGACATCATTCTACCTAATGCCTGTATATTTATCTCGATATTTGTATTATTTCAGCTTCAAATAGCCCAACAACGTTCAACTTGGATCCTAACACAGGACACTTGACGACACGTCAACCTCTTTCTGACACTATCGGTTACTACTATCTTAATATTACTGCTAGGGATGATGGATCCTGTTGTAGTGGCAGTAGCCCACTGACAGGGGAAGGATACATTGTCGTGGAAATCTATGGCTTGAACACACCCCCAAGGTTCCCTAATTGCGCTAATTATGCTCCATCTGTGAAAGAAGATGAACCAATAGGATCCTGGGTCATGCAGGTAAATTATAAAAATGCATTTCCAATTTGATCCTGGACTTCAATGGGATTAAAATGCACTGGTAAAAATATTGAAACTTTTTATTTTTGACCTTATTTTTCCTCTTCATTGTTCAGTAATGTGCAACTGTGAGTATGTTTGAAGTCTTCAAGTTTTGATAAAATTGGTCTGCAAAGTCTTAGGCCATTCAAAGTTTTGATTGACTCTAATTATTCTTTTTTGAAGATTTTCAAGTATTCGAGACACCTTCATGGTAATACTCATGAGTGCAAAGTTTTTCTGAAAATCTTAGTGATAATACTACTTTTTAATTATAGCTTACTGCAACTGACTCTGATGTTGGAGACAATGGCAGACTTGAGTACTCCCTTGTCATACCAAGTGGTGAAAATGAACGATTCAGAATCACTAGTCTCAATGGTAACCTCACCACTGCTCAAGTTTTTAAAAGGCGTGAAGGAACGAAACATGGTGTCACTGCAAGAGTTGAAGATTTTGGGCGCCCAAGACTTTCCGCTAGTTGCTTCTTTTTTGTTACAATCAGTGACGTGAATAATCATGATCCTGTATTTGATCAACGTGAAGAATATGTGGTTGCGATTTCTCGAAATCATCAAACCAGTACGAGAGTACTTCGTGTCCTCGCAACAGATCTGGACGAAGGCAACAATGGCCAGGTGACCTACAGTATAACTAGTCAACAAGGAAACTATTTTACTATTGATTCTAGCAGTGGATGGATAACGCTTCAAAACAGTGTTAATGGAGTAGTAAGTTATATACAACCATGTACTTTATTATCATTAAAGCATGAGATTTGACCTTTTTGTGTGTGACATATTGACCCTTTAATTTCTTTTGTTACATTATATGGGACAAGGAAAATAGATATTTAAAAATGAGTTGACTTCTTTTCTCAGAAATGGCAGCCAGGGCATGTGAAAATAAAAAGAAACCCCAAAATCCTAAAAAAGGCAGGGAAAAGTAAAATGTTTGGTTCTAAGATGATCTTGCGTTCACTTTATTTACAAACATTCTATTTGTGATAGCTTAATCATTATATTTTCCAGGGTGGGCAAACATTGTCATTTACAGTTTCTGCCCGAGACAATGGTTCCCCACAAAGAACAGGAAATCTAGTCACTGTGGAAGTTGTTGTCACAAGTAGTACAGGACAGGAGATATCTCCGACATGGACAGAGAACTATGACGATCAAACTGCAATCAAATTCCGTGAAGATGTCCTTACAAGTTATTTAGTGAAATCACTGAAAGCAACTCCATATTCAACAAGTGCCCCAGCTTTTACTTACTCTCTCCCAGCAGTATTACCATCAAGAACCATAGAGTTAAATGGTTTGGACCATTTTTCATCATCCGCAAATACGACTGATATGTCTGTAAGGCCCTCTGGCCAGCCACCCCTTGATTATGAGGAAAACTACGAATTTCTGCTCAAATGCAGGGCAGCAGTAAGTTTATTTATCAATTTTGCTGGTTAAATTACTTGGTCTCCATTTTGTGATTTTCCATAAATCTTGCAATCATTATATTCCAGGACAACCACTTTTCCTTTTAACTTGAAATTTTCACAGATGCAAGAGCAGACTAGCCAAGATTTGATTATGTTTTGGGTATCCTGGGTAAATTACATAGTGACTTTCCTCTTCAAAGTGCGATATTTATCACTGTGTGTCTTGTTTCAGATTCAATAGCAAACTAGCACCACTATCTGATTATTGTTTGGTAATATGCTAGGTTAATAAGATGGATTCCATTTTGCTCTTTGATTTGTGATAATTTTCTCTCTGTTTTTCTTGTTTGGGTCCTTGTCTTATCAGCACATATCTGAATATAGATATACAATATATAGCATATTGTAAACAGTATATTACAGTATATTATAACCAGTATATTACAGTATATTATAAACTTGTTTTATAAATTTTCTAAATTAAGAAACAAACATACATCGATACATGTTCACATTGGCTTTCAGTTACTTGAAATATGTTTATTATCATTATTAAATTGGTGTAAATCCTTGTAAGATGTAAATGATTTCCAGACTCAAACATATTACATGGATACGAGGCTACAGGTTGAACTCACTGATGTGAACAACAAGATTCCAAAGTTCCAAGGCCGCGACAACAATGGTCGCTACACTGGCAGTATTCCAATCACAGCTGGGGTCAACTATGAGGTCATGAGAGCTGTAGCAACAGATGAGGATGGCACATTACCAAATAATAGAGTAAGTTATGTAAAAAGAATAGTTATGTCTAATATGTAAGTTTTAATTCGCAAATTGAATATTTTAACCACATACATAGCTGGGCAAGATGTGTCCGATTCCAGCCAATCTGAATACAGTATTTCATATAACTGCACTGCATTATATAACCAATCAGTGACATCTTGCCATGTTCATGGACATGGATAAGTAACAGCCATGTTCTTTCTACAATTATATTTCATTTATTTCAGGTTTATTATTATTTACTACAGCAAGGAGATTACACTGATTTTGCTATTAATGAGGACTCTGGAGTTGTCACCTCTCTCAGGACATTCAACACTACCAAACTCAGCTTTGCCCTGAAGATCGGGGCCCGTGATGGGGCAAATTCTGCATTGCCAGGGGTAACTGGGCCAAATGAAGGTGGGAATAAGTCAGACATGTCAGAAGAGTGTTTCAGTCTCTCTCCTGATAAACTTAAATTGCAATTTTATCTAGAATTTAAGTTGCATGTTTAGAATAAACTGAAATAAATACATGTATGTACATGTATTATGTCAGATATCAGAAACAAACAATAAAACCTGAATATCTAAATATCTTCCTTAATATGCACTACACAATGAGAAATCTTTTTCATTTCGTTTTTATGTCATCACCAAAAAGTGACAGCGGTTGGCGATCAATGGTTGGCAATTGGCAGTTGGCGTCTGTAACAAATGGTGGTGACATTTTGCATGATAATGCCTTGTTTATTTAAATGTATGTTATGAATAGTACATGTACATTGAATGTGTTACAGCTGAGCCTGTTGACCTTGCAATCACTATTGTTGTGCTAAGCTCTGGAAAACCTGAGTTTACGACCACCCCTCCCGCCACCACCATTCCTGAGACAACAGTGATAGGAACATCATTGCTGACTGTAAGAGCTGCCGATTCTGAGCCAGGTAAAATTCTTTATATGTTGCTTTTATGCAAAAATGGACATAATGGGCAACAAATATTCATAAAAATATTGAAAATGTCCTCCAGCATTGGTTGCTGAAAGAAATGAATGCACAACAAATTTTATGAAATCGCAAATTGTACAGGAGATTGACAAATTTCAAGTTAACAAAAAATATTAGTCTCAAAATCACAAAGTCATGAAATAACAGTGATAATATTACCAGGAGTATAGTATGCATAAATGCTTTTTCAGATAATGTACAATATCACCAGTATGCTATCACAGGAGGTAATACGAATCAGGCATTTGGTGTAGTCCCCAATACAGGAGATATATATGTCAGGGGTAAACTGGATTATGCTACAACACAGGTAATATAACTATTGACCTATCAATAGGTTAATTGTATATAATTGTTGACCTATCTGGAGGTTAACTGTTAAGATTATATCCCACAACTGGAAAAATACAAAAATTGATTTTGATTTATGATTTTGGCAGCTAACCGATTTGAATGGTCTAAAATTGTCAGTTTCATCACCATGACATCATGAAATGACTTCATCCCTAAACACTATTGACCACCAATACATTGCATAGTCAAAACTATTGACCTCTGTTTGACTAATCAGCATCAAGCAGAGTACCTTTTTGTTCAGTAAAAGCTTTAAAGTGAACCCCTTCCCCTAGTATACATGCATCCCTACATGTAATAAAAACCTGTCCCTCGTAAACACCCATCTCAAGTGATCGCCTGTCCCTCGTGAACATTCAACACCCATCCTTAATGAACACCTGTACCTAGTGAATATTTCTCTCCTACTAGGTGAGAAATCCCTAGGAAATACCCAGCCCAAGTGAAAACCATTTTCTGAATACACTCCATTGACTTTCATATAAAAATACTGGTAATGTATAATATATATTAAACATTAGTCAAATTACACACATATGACATACATGTATGAATGCATAAAGTAAACTCATGTATCTAATATTCACTATTTGTTTTATATAGAGTTACAACCTTGCATATAGAGTGTTTGATGGTGCCATCTCTGCAACCACCACAGTAGTTATGAACATACAGCAACAAAACAAGAGACCTCCTGTTATAACACCAAGCAACCCAAGCACTGGAGATGTAGTAGAGATGGACACCAGCACTGTGGGAAATGGAAGAGAAATGCTCTTATATAATGTATGTGCTCTTTCTTTTTGACACATTAAAGTGTAGTTGCAATAGAATGTACATTGTAAAATGTATGTCACATTCTAGGCAATAAAATATTTTGACTTCTTTTATTTTTGTACACTTGAATCTTTATTTTTTCAAAGCATTGGTATTTTTTGTTTTATTTTTCTCAAATACTTTTGTACAGATATTGTGTAACCTTGATCAGATGATATATCCTAACCCATATTGGTTGACAGACATTATTATTTTGAACGTATATACATGTATACCAAATTAAAGATTAAAAAAATATATTCCCCATCATACATCTTTGTGCCTTCAATAGAAACAGCAAAAACAAAGCACTTTTCAGAGCATCTTTTTTGGCGGGAAAATGAAAACTTGTCAAAAGGCATTACTTTGTTCTACAATCCATTTCTAAAGAGGTACATACTGTTCTGAAAAGTATCACAGTATCACAGGCATCCAATCCTTAGAGCTATCTTTGTCTTCCAAGTGGTTATACTAGGATGCTAATACTTGTCCAATTATTTGTTTCACCAGCAGCTACATGTAAAAATTATGATTTTAATGGCCATTAATGAGATTTCTATTGAATGAAGCTATTGAATTAATGTTTGCTTGGTATAATCACACTGGGATCAGTGAAATTAGATATTGTTGCTATATTTTGTTTACTCTGTCTACATGTATATGAAATTTGTATACTAGAGATATCAAGCTGAATTAGAGCAGCTGAAACCAATGTGCTTTAAAGCCTTCATAATTTTCTGTTGCTAGGTAACAGCTATTAACCCAGATACAGGAAGTAGTGATGGGGTGCAGCTCGGTGTTCAAGGTTACAAGGCTGCAGAACAGTTCCGTATTGATCCCCAGGGGCGGGTGTACCTCACCAACTGGCTGGATCGTGATGAACCATATGGTTTCTCGACGTAAGTTGACCAGAAATAAATTATAACATTTATTACTTCATTTCATAAAGAGTCTGATATGTGTTGATGTCGAAATAATTGATAAGGGGACTTGAAGTTATTATGTCACCTCTTTTGGTGACAAATTAAACATATTTATAAAATTATCAGATTAATAAGGGTTATAATATTTTAGATGGGACATCAACATAGTTGCCCAAGACCAGAATGGTGGACCAGATTCTCTTACAACATATGGCAAGGCCAGCGTCAGTCCCAAAGACATTAATGATCACTCACCCATCTTCAAGGCTTGCTGTATAACTGGGAGTGTTCCAGAGGGTGCAGCTCCAAGTAAGTCTGTACACCCCCATTGGGAAATCTTGGAGATGGTTTCCAGCCCCAAGGTTGGTTTCCGGACAACTCGGACCCAGGACAAGTCGGACCCTGGACAACTCGGACCCAAACAATTTCATCAAATTAACACAATAAATGAATGCACAGTACATAATATATGTCATCTAAACATAAGACAAAAATTAAAACCCCATATTATGATGTTAATATCATCATTTCAAAAAGTGGTCCGAGTTTTTTTTTTTTTTTTTTTTATAAAATCAAACTTTATTAATAAACATATTTTACATTACATGCATACAATAAGATAAAATACAATTATAGAAATTTCAAGTTACATTACATCTTTCTGATCATTATTTCATTATCAAAAATAGCTTTTACATTACTAGCTGTATTGACCCTTTTTTAAAATCATGTATAGCTTTTTTAATTACCAATGTTTTAAGTAAATCTTCTTTTTTAACAATTGCATTTCCAATTTTTTGATCATTTGTAACATTTACATCATCCCAAATTGATTTAATACAGTCACAATTGATAAAGAAGTGGTCAATGTCATCTTTTACATGTGCGTTACAAAAATTACAGATGTCAGAGTTTTCAATGTTACATTTCTTCAAATAAATATTTTGAGGGTAAATACCATGTAAAATTTTCCATTGAATTACCAAAAGGGTAGTATCGGTTGTACATTCAAAAAATTGAGACCAGACTTTATCGTTTAGAATCTCACCATTAAATTTTATGTCACATTTTCTCTCTAAAACAACTTTTGTTCTCACAATTCTTGTGTCTAAAAGATGGCTCTCAATGCCTTTAAAAAATAATTTTGTACAAGGAGTTTCCATTTCATATTTGATAAGGAGATCTTGTGTTAAACAAGAGTTGTCTTGGGTCCGAGTTGTCTTGGGTCCGAGATGTCTTGGGTCCGAGTTGTCCAGGGTCCGAGTTGTCCTGGGTCCGAGTTGTCCTTGGTCCGAGTTGTCCAGTTACCTTGGAGCTTCATTTTCAAAAATTACTCATTTTAGAGAACGGAAGGATTCTAAGCTTACTTTTTCAATTATAGTGTATTTCAATTTATTTTGTCCAGTTCCATCATCAATTTTCAGTTATGCTCATGGGCCTACCAACCCACTCACCATTCCTCTGAGAGCAATTATTTTAAATTTTCCATTAATCCCACAACGAGAAACACTATATAATAAACATCAATACGACGAGATAATAGATTAATTATCCAAATTGAATAATAACCAATAAGATCAGTTACTGTTGAATAACATTCTGCCCGGGATTTGTTATTAATCATATAGAAATGTCTTATCCGAACAGCTTACATGTACGTATTATCCGTTGCGGCCATTAACAATTTTACATATCTAATTAGCTAAGTAAATAAACATGCGTCGACACAGTCGCAGTTGACTATGAAAAGCTCAATCATCAATCTTATTTTTATTTTCTTGATTTAAAGATTTATTATGTTTAAAAAAGAAAATGTTTGATTTTTAAGCTCAACCTTTAATTCTTATTATCAAGAACGCGCATGCAAATTCGCCAACCATGTACATTGTTTGCAGTCTGAGCAATTTAATGTAAATCATTGTATATTTTTCGATATACTGTAATACTATTCATTATTTGTAAAATTGAACCGAATATAATCTAAAATTAAAATTTAAAATAGCTTTAAAATAGCTTTAGATACATTATATTTCATAAAAGTTGCCTTAAAACAATACAATTCGTGTGTTTGTAAATGCTCTAAAGCCCCGCTAGTATATGAACGAATCCTAAATAGAAATGAGTAAAATTCGTTCCCATTAGTGTGTACACGTTCTACACCGAGACTTCTCCTTTAAATCAAATCAGTCCACTAGTATGAGTTAAGAATGGACAGAGGGACGGATGGCTTCATTCAATGGGATAATTAAGATATTTCAAAACCAGTGTCATTCTTCTATGCATACATCACTCCAATCATTAAACAAGCTGTTTATTTTAAAACTATTCTTTACGAATCTATGATAAGTGTATAATGTTCAATCATACAAATCGCAGTCAGTGATTGTTCTCCACACTCACCCCTCCCCCTTCCTGACATGAACTATTTTGTAAAACCATTGACAGTGTGGAAAGGATTTTTACACTCGAGTGTCAAGGGGGGGGGGGGGCAGTTACAGAAATATACAAGGCGATGGTTCAAATTGGACAATTTTCAAAACTGCTCAACATGGTGAAAACTTCACGTTTTTAAAGAATGCTTGCCCGGCGAGTGGTTTGCTCTGGATTGCGAGAGAACAAAAACTTTGAGTTAGGATTTTTCCTAATACTATCTATACCACCCTTGGTATACGCAGCTAACGAAAATTGACCGGTACGGGTCAAAAGCTAGAATGTTCGTTTCTGTGCCCCCCCCCCCTGTCCATGGCCAGTAAGTAAGCTATGTGTATATATCTGTATAAAACCAGATGCAGGCATAGACATTGACAAGGCGAGGGGATTTAAATATAAAAATAGTCTTGTTTTTGGCTCCGACTTATATATTTTGGCACTGTTTAACGAAGCCGGTTTAAGGAATGAGAGGCAGAAATAATTCCTAGAAATAAGATGGCCTCATCGCGATAGCCGCGACCCCTTTGTCTTTATCCTTCCACAATCGGCAGATAAGAGTGGCTCTGGCATACCAGAATGAGATGGCCTGTCTTTACCGTAATCAAGATATGGTACCTAACCGCAGTTATTTTGGTTTTATAACGGGGATATTGCTCGAGCTTGAATAACAAATAAAAGGCATGTTCTTATTTCTGTATTCTGACCTTTGATTGTGTATTAAGTTGAGCTGCACGCCAAACGTTAAGATTGTTAAAATGCTGAAAATAAAACTTTATTCCTCTCAATTTACATAAAAATGAAACAGATTAGATTCGAATCTCAGTCACACCAGCACCACTGGTCAAAGGAAGTACAAATATCTATATTAATCAAATGTCTGAGAATTTGATAACTGTCTGGGATCCAATGTTAATTTTATTGAAGCAAACTAAGAAAAGATGAATTTTAAACGTTTAGAGGGAAAAGTCAAATATGCATTGTAACCCTAAAAATAATTCATTTAAGTGTCGTACACATTTTATAACATTTATATAAATAAAACAAATAAAGCACAACCCTAATGCCCTATAATGAATTCATATCGGCGCCAAATGGCCCTTGCAATAAAAACGCATCGAAGCAGGGAATGCTTGGAAAATTCTTCCGAGACTGACTTTTGTTATTTTAAAATTGAAATATGCCTAATTCCTATGAACACGCGATCTTTTTCCCTGGGTTTTACTCTATTTTAGATTTACTAGAAAAATGTTTATATGATGATTGCGTTTGCTTCTCACGAGTTCATTGAAACGTTCAGTCGTAAAACTTTAGAGATCAAAAGACTAATTAGGCACCTGATTGCGAAAGTTTGATTGCATTTCGATCGCCGGGATTTTACAAACGTATTGTTTAAGTAGCGATCGTGTTCTTGGGATCTTGATAACTTCCTATTTTAAGTTTTGGGTTGAAAGCAATGAGTATGTCGGACTTTCTCAAGTCCACATAATGAAACAATATCCCTTTATATTAGTCCAATCGGAATTTGCATAAACATACCAGTTTTATATTGCAAAAAGAACTGTAATTAATAGCCTACATAAAAGCATCATGATAAATAAAACATTAAAGCATATATAAAGCCTTTTGTTATCGCACCCATCGCACCCCCCCCCCCTCCTGGCTACGCCTATGGATATGTTGGCAACTTTCACGTTTACCCCGCCCCCTAATAATTCTTGCGCCCCCTCTAAATATCAGACCCGTCAGGCGTTGAGGCATGGATCAGGATACCCTGACTCCCAAGCTGTGCGACTTCTGGCAACCGCTACACCTATATTCCCGGGGAAAACGCTTTTAGAAAAATCGTCAAATATGGTCGTGTGTGGGCAAACACGGAGGAGGAGGAGAGGGGTGCGTGCATTGTGTGCGACCCTTCATCAGTTGTGTACCTTATTTTTTGTATGAATTTCTTCCGAATAGTTATGCTAGAGGGGTTCTGATATTTATTTCTGTTTTCAAATGAAATAATTTCACCCTTGCCCGACTGACTTGTAGATAATGCACGAATCAAATAGCATGGAGATCAGATAATCAGATTGATTCGTATTTTCGCAATCAGATGAATTAACTTATTGTTTTCTCTGATTAAAAGGCGGTTTGAAGCTACTTTTACAGGATTTGTAAATTCGCAATCAGACTAGCTTATTTTAATATTTAGTCAGTGCAAGAGGAGGGGACTATAATGTAGAAAATTGTTTTGGTTTCGACTCTAACTGAATAATTTATCACAATTGTTAAATAAGCAAACAGAAACAGGTTTAAAAATGAGAATAGAGGCAAAAAGTCTATACATAAAATGTAATCAAAACCCGGGAATTAAAAGCAATTTTAGACTGTTAGATGATCTCTTCTGTACCCTTTGCATTCGTTTGACTTCACTGTAGTTTAACTAGACTCTGCACGCAGGGTATCTCTTCTGTAATCAAGGTGATGTTGGTACACTTCCGCCGTTAGAAAAACAAAGACTAAGACAAAGACTATATAGCAATTAATCCTTTTGTAATTATTAAATGTTAGATTCTTATTATTTTGTTGGACAATGTTCAGACTTCTGACCAAGATTAAATCATTTATGTTTGTATTTAAAAATAGTATTTCAATCAGACAGACGTTCTAATGAGTTAGAAAAATACATTTGTCCATTTCCTCTCAAGAAGTTTTCAAAGGTAATCAAGTCGATTTGTTTGAGTGTTTAGCATTGTTTTTCATAACTTGACGCTTCCATGAACAGAATGACTTTGAAATGAGTTTTTATAATTTTAGCTTTTATACGGACATGCTTATTGTATATTTCTATATGAACGTTGTAGTTATGTGATGTAACATCGCCCCCCCCCCCCAATTACAGGTATACAAATTTTGGTCGGAATGCATTAACTTGCAATTAAAAGCAATTTTAGACTGTTAGATGATCTCTTATGTAATCTAGGTGATGTTGGTACACTTCCGCATTTAAGAAAACAAAGACTAAAACAAAGAGAACTAAGCAATTAATCCTTTTGTTATCATTAAATGTTAGATTCTCATTTTTTATTGGACAATATTAAGACTTCTGTCTCCGATTGTTATGCAGGTATGTGTATAAAATCATGTGAACAACATTATCGTGGAAACTCCCATATTCATTCTCATAATGTCTTACAGCTATTTCGCAAATGACATAATCCTAAACAACATATGGAAATAATAGTGCAGAACTGAGCGAAAAGAAAGGTGGAACAAATCAGATTAAGATATTTTATTTTTGAAATGCACAGAGGGCAAAAGTTAAAGGCGTTGTGAAATAGATCGTGCTTTTATATGATCCCCTTCTATAGTACCCTACCCTTTGCATTCGTTCGACTTCACTTCTCTAATGAGAGTTTCGTCTTCTCGTAGTTTATAATTAGACTCTGCACGCAGCGTAATAGTTCCCCTATTATCCATGTTCATGTTCTCATTTGATTTTTCATCAGTTATGACTTGGTAACATTTGTTCCGATTTTCATTACGGCGCTCGGCCGATTGAGTATTTTGTTCAGAATTGAATACAATTTTGAACAAAATACTCAACGGCCGGGCGCCGGTGCTGAAAATCTGAGCAAATGTGACCACGGCATTATAAAAGCATACTCTTTAATACACGAACAGATTCAAAATGAGACTTTATCTATCAGAGAAATAAAAATGGAAAATTTGTATTCTGAAAATATTAACTGATGCATTGGTTAGTATTAAATATTAAGTTTTACAGTCGGAAACCTCAAGGGGCGGGAAATTTGATTAAACAAAACGCCGGATTAATATGTGGACAACTTGCAAATGAAATGTAAGTAACATGACAGAACGAGTATGTACGTCCAATAAATACTTTTATAGTTTTAATGTGCATTCAAAGGACCCCGTTTGTAAAATTGATAGAAATGAATAGTTTTATTACCGGAAAAAACTGAGAAATATCTACCCGATTCGCCAGAATAGTCATCATCATATCAGTGCGAAAAATTAGCTATATTTATTTTCTATGCGATATACACCTGATATTGATAGCCTTCCACGATCATGGTCCGTTGACATCATCAACCTTGTGATTTGCCATAAGTGATTAACCAACATTTTAAAACAATTTAAAGTCGGGGTTGACGTTTCTTGACTTTTCAGACTGACATCCAAACAAAACATAATTTGAAAATAAAAGGCATAAAATGGCCATTAAAAGTACATTTTTGAACAAAAGTATCAACTTATATTACACTGCACGCAAATACAAAGTGAAAAGAACGTCTTCCCGGAGATTGAAATACGGATCGGTAAGTCAACAAATCTAACTGTTAAATAAACAAGCTTAGCCTATGTCTGCGATTGTTTGTCTGAGTGGCCAGATGTTATCCGTTTCGGATAATAAATTTCTGAGAATACTACTGATATCTAGAATACATCTTCCGTGATATTTTTCATAAAACTACCCTTTGCATTCGTTTGACTTCACTAAAAGAGAGCTTCGTCTTAGTGTAGTTTAACTAGACTCTGCACGCAGGGTATCGTAAAACAGGCATCTTAGCTGCAATTTTGAATAATAGCGTAATTCATAGCACAATATAAATTAACCCGCCTCTGTTTAATTCAAATATGCATTACCCTTAAGAATCATATACTTAGACACCTTTTCATTCTTGATTCGAATTTTTATCTTGTCTTCATCTAAATTTGTGGATTAATAACAGTTTTTAGTATACAAATTAAACATACAAAATGTAGCGTATTGATTACACGTTACAGTGGCGTAGCCAGCTTTCAGTCGGGGGGAAGGGGGGGGGGGGTGCGATCGTGGCATAAAAAATGTTTTTGAAGATTTGTTTTGAATTTTACAAAAATTGGTGCAACTTCGTTCAAAATCGAGCTAGAAGCTTCAAATAAAAAGCATTTTAAGACTTTTTTCTTCTACCTAATAGTTCTATTTTCATTGGTTATGGAGGGATCGCACACATCGCATCCCCCTGGCTACGCCTATGCGCTATATTAATATAACAAGGTTATCATATCATGCCAATAGTTATATGGTTAACTAATAATAACACAAAATAATAATACACGATAATTAAAAAAATAAACCTCGGTATTCGGGCCTAAAATCCAAGGATACGTGTACCATTACTTAAGTGTAAGCTGCAATACCATATCGAATACCTGTACCATTACTCAATAATAACCACTAGTAAGACCATAATAACAAGCTTAATAACTAGCTTATCGCAAATTATTCCATACGATTTTGTCTTGTGTCCATATTGCTTTAATCAAATGTTGGTTTTAGTATATCTAAGTCAGAGAATATGGCAGTTTATTTTGCAGGACTAAAACTCATGACCTATTCTTATTTTAGGTCAACCAATCATGACAGTATCAGCTGGTGATGTAGACTTTGAAAATAATGGAACTGTGTGCTTTAATCTCAGGGATGTCCCCACTGAAAATGGAAATCCCCTATTTTCATTGGATGGTACATCAGGTCAAATACGCTCTTTGAGGCCATTAAATCGTGAGAACCAGGATCGATATGAGATGATAGTGGATGGGATGGATCGGGGAGTTCCTGCCAGAACAAGTAAGAATTTATAAATGAAATTTCACATTTATGTGCAAATTACAATGATATAGAAAATTGAAGTGCAGTATCAGCTAGTATTCATTATAATTGTTGTTTATTGTAAGAACAGGAAGTCATTTTTTTGTTAATTCACACTCATGTTTGAAATTATTATCCAATACAACAAGTTTGATGCTTGTACAGGTACAATGCCTCTATCTACCTGAATATTTTCCTTGCATCTATAGGTCACTTACCAGAGTCCCTAAATTAACACTGTGGGAAACTCGGGGGCACAGTGTGAGATTATTCTCAGATTATATTATTTTAAACCAATATGTATTCTTTCCTTTTTATTTGGTACAATATTGATACATTTACTTTATGAATACATTGATTATTGAGTATAATATCTTCTTAATGATTTCAGCGAGCACTAAAGTGTATGTAGTTGTTGCTGATATAAACGATAACAGACCTGAGTTTGCTGCCCCAAAATCATATTATAAGGAGGTCCCTGAAGAATTACCACTGGGAGCAACTTGTATGGAAGTTTCAGCAACAGATAATGATATTGGGGAAAATGCAAAGTTGACTTTTAGCATTGTCTCTCCTGATTCACCATATTTCTACTTTGATAATATTCATACAACACAAACTGGCATTGTGAAAATTAAATCAGTGAGTAGTTTTGCATTATTGTGTTTTATTTATTTAATGAATATTTTGGAGTGAGAACAGAAAAACTTGAATTTTTTTTCTGTTTTTATTGTATTTAATTAAAAATGTTACAGTTATTAAAAAGTTGTATTTTCATGTTTACTTTTGCTCTCTGAACTAACTCTAACCAAATATTGTTGAATCAGCATATCATTCACATATTGTTCATTTTTGTTACATTGTTTATGGTGCATGTTGTAGAGGGTGGACTATGAAGCAATGTCCAGTCACTTACTCCAGTATAACATAAGAGTCCAGGACCCAAACCCTTCAAACAGTGATACTGCAGTCATACACATCAACATCACAGATATCAATGACAATGCTCCAGTCTTCAATCCCGCCACTATTAGTACTACCCAATCAGAGGACATTCCTGTTGGAACCACGATTGCCACTTTTTCTGCCACAGATCGTGACAGTGGAGTAAATGCACAATTTGAGTAAGCAGAAAATAATACTTTTGCAACAAATTGTTGCCTTTATGATGTATCTTGCAGCTATAGCCTGTACATTAATAGCAAATGAAATAGAAAAATTCTAAAATGACTGAAAAATTAGAAAATTAAAGGAAAGAAGTAATCTTAATTTTGTATTATATCTCTTGTTTTCCCTTCCTTCTCCTATGATTTATTTTCCCATGCGAGAGCTTCATTCAGAACTACTCACAATTGTTTCAATTGAATTTCTGACAGCATGCAAAAAGAATAAGAACAATAGAAGAAGTTAATTGAATATTATTATTTAACATTAGAAACAGTTGCTAAATTCCTCAGAACAACATAAAATTTTGTTGAAACAGCCAGATAAAACTGCCTATATTGCTGGTTGATTATGAATCCCTACATGTATTTAAATATCTAGTTGGATTGTCCAAAACCATCCACCTTATCCTTAAATGCATTGCGTTTCTGTTTCAGCTATTCTATTGATTACATGAACAATCGTCCTGATGCCATGCACTTTGAGATAGACCCCCAATCAGGTGTGGTCACAACTATGCTACGTCTTGACAGGGAGAATATAGCCACACATAACGTTCACATATTGGCAATTGATAAAGGTAGGCAGTCTGCACTTTCATTATATACAGCCTATACAGTAGACCCTGTCTAATCCAAACACCACTGGGGGTGCCCAAAAGTGATTGAATTGGCAGGTGTATATATAAGTTTTCAAGTCTTAATATGGCAGATAAGAGGTACTCAGATACGTGTAAGTTATGTACAGCATTTACTGTAAATGTTACTCATGTGGAAACGAATAATTTTTATCAATAAATTTGAATTTTACCTCCTAGGAACCCCCACTATGACTGGAACTGGAACCCTTATTCTCACACTCACTGACGTTAACGACAATTTCCCACAATTTGCGGAAGATTATCAGCCAATCGCTTGGGAGAATGAGCCGCCTGTTCAAGATGTTGTCACTATACGAGGGAAGGATGCAGACACTTCACCAAATGGTCCGCCATATCTGTTTGCACTGCCTTGTGGTGAAACCTGCCCATGCAATGATAACCCAACATGTCCACAATTCTCAATGAACTTCAGACAAGGTACTTGAAAAAATTTTAAAGATTTATTAGTATTTCTTTTAGTCATGATACCTTATATTTAAGTTGTTAGTTATTGCAGAATACAAAGTTCAAAATCAAAATATAAAATATCTAAAGACAATTGTTTTTTCAATTTTCCCTTAAATTGCTGCATGAATAACCATAAAGAATCTGATTTAGGATGATAGTCTTGTAATGTACAGAAGTGATTCACTATGATATTATTCGATTAGTGAAATATAAACCTGCATCCAATAGATGTTGATGAACTTATTCAGAATTGTAAAATAAAACTCTGCACAGGTGGTGACAGTGGAAGAGGTGAGGGTGATATCAGGACAAAGGTGACACTAGATAGAGAACAACAGAAATACTACCGCATGCCTATTATCATGTCAGACTCTGGGAACCCACGTATGACAGGCACAAACACGCTAACTGTGACTGTCGGAGATAGAAATGATAATGACCATCGACCTGGCCATAAGGAGGTCTATGTTTACAATTATAAAGGTGAGTAGTGACATGATTTCACATTAGCCAACTAGTCAACCTATACTCTGACTGAAACAGATGAGTTTACAGGTTGGCCTGAGCTATGATATTCTCATGCAAACTCAATGTATCATGAGGTCTGATAAGTACCCATATACTGCCAAGTGAACACTTCTTTAATGAACACCTGTCTAGTGAACACATGTCTCTAGGGGACATCCTTCCTCTGCATATACTCTACTGACAATTGTATAAATTACCCTCTCTATAGTGAACCTATTGACAGTAGGCAAAAAATGTTCAATATACACAGGTTTTACTGTACTGTTATCTTTGTTTCAATGTTAAAGTTATACTCATATAACCTATTGTCTCTCTCCTTATTCAGGTGAACTTAGCAATGCTGATCTTGGCCATGTATATGCTGAAGACCCGGATGACTGGGATAGAGGAGATAAAACATTCTCATTTGAAGGGACATCAGCTGACCATTCAAGATTCACGTAGGTTTTATAGTTTAGTTTTCCCAAAACAGTATACAACAATGAATAACATTAAACAACAATTATTGAATAGAATTGGGCAAAAATGAATAACATGTGAGATTAATGAATAAAATGTCACGATTTAAACAATTTCACTTCAGATTGGATGCCAGTTCTGGTATTCTACGTATGCTACGTGGCACAGGAAATGGAGTCTACAACCTCAGGGTCAGGGTGAGAGACACTGTACGCAATGTGGAAGCTGTTTCCACCATACGTGTCAATGTGCAAGAAATATATGATGATGCAGTGTACAGTTCTGGGTCCATCAGATTTGCAAGTAAGTAGGATGGGGGTAACTTGGGGGAGTTAACTAAGAAAGGGGTATTGAGTGAGAAAAGGGTAAATGGAGAACAATTAGAAAAGGGATTTAGTTGGATCGCTGTTTAAGGAGGGATTGAGTACATGGTTAAGGAGGGGATAAAGGAGAGGAATTGAGTAGAAGAATTAAGTAGGGAATCCTTCAGTACCATTCACACCTCTCAATTGTATCAAAGCTTGATGGTAGTAAATCAACATTATCATATTTCTGAAGAGTTTAAGATTTTAAGATTAATTTTTTTTAAATTCAGAAATGACGCAAGAACAATTTATTGAGCGGAACAAAACAGGCACTGGAGTGGAGGATTATGGGAAATCTAGATCGACTTTGCTAGCAGAACAAATAGCTACAATGCTTAGTGTGCCTGTTGGAAATGTACACATATTCAGTGTGCGTGACAATGCTACTAACACCACTGCTAAGGATAGACAGCCTAACACGCACACAGATGTAAGATTTGCTGCTCATGGCTCCCCTTGGTATCGAACTGCTAGATTGGATGGTCTTGTCCTGGATAACAAAGAGCAGGTAATCTTTACATATGGATTAGAAGGAACTTTGGTGTCATATGTCGGAACAGTTCACCTGAAATCCTGAAATTCATTCCTGAAATTTTGGCTCACATTTCATGTCAATATGGCAATGGAGGCCATCTACTGATATATAATAATTTCAAAAAGTGGTCCGAGTTGTCTTGAGTCAGAGTTGTCTTGGGTCCGAGATGTATTGGGTCCGAGTTGTCCAGGGTCTGAGTTGTCCTGGGTCCGAGTTGTCCAGTTACCTAAAGATCATACTATAAAATTATTGACGACCGACATAAAAAATAATAACAAAGCTGCTACAGCTGTACAAACGTGTATTCATACATAAACTCGTGTCTATTGGGCTTCAAGTCTATCATGATGTGATTCTCACTCCAGATCCAAACAGCCTTGGGTGGTGCTCAAATCGCCATGGTTCCCATTGATGAATGCTACCAATCAGACTGGGACTGCCATGATGGGGGATGCTCTAGTCTACTTCGAACAACCACAAATGCACATACGGTGAATTATTTTACACTTTTCACATTTATTCCAGTATAATTCGCCGCCATATTGCTCAAATTAATTGTATAACATACTGTATTGGGAAAGTTTTATTGTACAACATATTGCTAAATTTATTGTCCATCATATTGGTTTTTATTGTACAACATACTGCTAAATTTATTGTACAACACTGTACAACATATTGCTAAATTTAATTGCATAACATATGGCTAAATTTTATTGCTAGAGCTTAATGTAAAACATATTGCTAATACTGGTAATTCAGTTCAATTACCTCTTGAAAGGTCATTAGTAGCATTTTATAGCAGTTGCTAAGATTGCTACACTGTTGTTATATGATATGACAGTCTATGTACAATGTAATTATTAGAACAATGTAATTATCTAAATATAATACTATAAAGTATGCCTTACATTTACGTTTTCTCTTATTTCCATTATTGGGCACAAATATTTCTCATTGCATATATTTATACTTATATTTCAGTATATTTTTCAGTACATTTTTATACTGACTTTTGCACTTAAATTTCAGTACATTTTTTAGTATATATTTGTACTTAAATTTATCCTGAAATTTTCAGTGCATTTTTCAGTATATTTTTGCACTTAAATTTGTCCTTAAAATTCAGTACATTTTTCAGTACATATTTATACTTAAATTTGTACTTAAAATTCAGTATATTATGTACTGAAAAATATACTGAAAAAAATTCAGTGCATTTTTCAGTACAAAAATATACTTAAATTTGTACTGAAACAAAACTAGTACATTTTTCAGTACATATTTGTTCTGAAAACGCTCCTTTCAGTACAAATGCTCTGCCCTATATGTTCAATACAATTTATAAATAATATTATTAACTAATATTAACTATTCAGTATCTTAATTCAGTGTTTTTTGTGGACATAGGTGAATACAAACGCAACATCCCTTGTGGGCGTTGATGCATTCCTTGAGACGACATGTTCTTGTAAAGCGAGGGATTTTGAGTCCCCTACACAAGGATGTGGGCCAATGTCATGTTTGAATAATGGGACTTGTCATGATATTCCACGTGGTGAGACCCTTGGTAATTCAGCAATGCAAGGCTTTTAGTAAGTTGTGATTCTTGAAAAATTAAGATTAATGTTTTTGTATTTAATGTGAAGTATCTTATAATATAGAATAAGATAGTATACAAAATGTAAATTGCATTTTATGAATTGAAGTACTCACTCCTTGAATTGTAATGTTTTAAAACCATGGTATTTTCAGAAAGGAGATTTATTCGTAAATGTTTATTGATACATCAATTCTGTATATTTATTACTAATGATATAGGAAACTCACTAGCTGTTTTGCTTTCACTTTTTAGTTGTGAATGTCTAGCAGACTTTGATGGACCCCGTTGTCAACAGACCAGACATAGTTTTACTGGAAATGGTTATGCTTGGTATAAAAGACTTGCCCCTCAGTGTCAGGATACAACATTGAGTCTTGAGTTTATGACATCACAAGACAATGGACTGCTCTTATATAATGGCCCCTGGGAGAATGTGAATGCAAGTAAGGCCCTGCAAATTTATGTTGGGTGGGGCCCACTGAATTATTTGATAACCTCTCAAATCAAATCTCCGGTCAAACCTTTTCTTGACCTTTCTAGGATTTCAGGGCTTTAATATTGAATTATGAATTATTATAAAAATGTGATGTACGAGATTCTTTTTCCTTCAACACTTCATGTTAAATAAATATTAATCAGCCTCGTTCAGGGTTAAAGTGAATTTGCATATATATTACTTTGTTTTATTTACTACATGAGAAACCATAGCATATATAGACTTAATTTCCCATAAACTTTAATATATGGCTTAGTCATATAGTTTTTTGTATATAATCTGCTAGATTTACTTATTATTTACTTGCTTAATCACCATGACAACATTAGTATGAAATACAATTACCCTTTGTGTTTGTTTTCTAGATTCCCTTGATAACCCAGTTCCCCAGGACTTCATATCAGTGGAACTGGAGGGTGGTTACCCCAAAGTGCGCCTTGACCTTGGTACAGGTGCACGAGAGATGAGGGTTCAAGGTCGTGACCTTGGTGGGAATAATGTCATGCCAAAATTGAGTGATGGGAAATGGCACAAGATTGACATCATTAAGATAGGCCAGGTATGGAACACTTTACTGAGGACATGTATATAGCATAAGCCTTTTTTTATTATTTATTTTTATTTATTTAATCATGACATGTTATATTTTACAAGTTCTTGCTCAGATAAGCATATCAAATTGGGGCACTCTCCATATTTGGACTTTTTAATGCAATTATTTTGCAATGACAATCAGCATAGACCCAATTTGGCCAAATAAAGTCCAAACTTTTGCTTTTATACAAATAAAACAAATATCAATCATTCCCATGATCATACATGGAAAAGTCAGTGAATTTCAGCAATCCTCACAATGGTAAGGATTCTCAGAAATTTGAGAGTTTTATAGAAGTCAGAAGTAGAGTATCGTTGTCTGGATTAGTCTAATTGTAGGTTGGCTATGTGACTTTAAACTTCATTTGGGTAATTTTTGTATTATGATATAATATTTGAACTTCATTTTATGAAGCAATATTATAACGTTTGTAACTGTAATTTCAGAAAGTACACTTTGTAGTTGATAGTTGTGCCCAGTCAGTATTGAACTCCAGCGCCCCCTGGCTTGAAGACCGTACCCCCTGCCAATCCCCAGAGGTGGAATTTACTGGCCTGGGAATGTACCTCACCCTTTACTCACCCCTGGAGCTAGGGGGCAGGTCAAAGCCACAGGTCACTTACCCCCAAGGCTTAACCACGACTGGTTTCAATGGATGTATAAAGAATGTTTACAACAATGGAGAGGTAATGATACTAAGAAAAGGGGCCATGTCAAACTGCCTATTTCTAGTAAAGCTAATTTTTGTTATGGGGGAGGTAGGAGTAATTGCTTCGATAAAAGGGCACTTTCCATATATTTAGAAAAAATTAAAGAAAAAATTGTTAAAACATGTTGCACAATCAATTGATGATTATACAAAGCTTCTTTCGTATTTTTGAAACTTGAAACTGCATTAGAAGTTTAGTTTACCGGAATTTGCACACTTCTCACCAAGGTGCTTTTAAACAAGTTTTGAAGCAAATAGATGGCATATGTAGATGCATGTACCAGATTTGTATCTTTCTTTATACCCCAGATGTCTTTACTTAATTAAAACCATTTCTACATTTCAAAATGTGAATGGAATTCTATGGCAGATTAATAAAACAGAGTTGAAAAAAGTGTACCCATTGAGAGGTGTCCAGATTGGGAGGTATTCAAATTGGGAGGTGTTCACATTGAGAGGTGTTCAGATAGGGAGGTATTCCATTAAGAGGTATTCAGATTGGGAGATGTACACATTGAGAGGTGTTCAGATTGGGAGGTATTCCATTAAGATGTATTCAGATTGGGAGGTGTGCACATTGAGAGGTGTTCAGATTGGGAGGTATTCCATTAAGATGTATTCAGATTGGGAGGTGTGCACATTGAGAGGTGTTCAGATTGGGAGGTATTCCATTAAGAGGTATTCAGATTGGGAGGTATTCCATTAAGATGTATTCAGATTGGGAGGTGTGCACATTGAGAGGTGTTCAGATTGGGAGGTATTCCATTAAGATGTATTCAGATTGGGAGGTGTGCACATTGAGAGGTGTTCAGATTGGGAGGTATTCCATTAAGATGTATTCAGATTGGGAGGTGTGCACATTGAGAGGTGTTCAGATTGGGAGGTATTCCATTAAGATGTATTCAGATTGGGAGGTGTGCACATTGAGAGGTGTTCAGATTGGGAGGTATTCCTATACACAGGTTTTACTCTTATGTTGTTCCTATCAGTTAAAAATGTTCAATTTCAGTTGTATGACTTGCATATCGGCAATGTTGGTCAACATAGTAATACAGCAGACAGATGCCCAGCGGAGGACTCAGCCTGTGGGGTGAATTTGCCCAGTGGGCCAAGATGTGGGGGCAATGGCACATGTATCGGGGAGATAGGAGGCGGCTATGTTTGTGACTGTCGACCAGGATTCAGAGGACCAGGATGTAACATTGGTATGTATATTGTTGATGTATTATAGGAACGTTTTTGATGTTTTTTTAATATATTCTACCATGATTTATTAATACATTTAGAAAATATAGTAGAATGAGAAATCGCAAATTATTCTAATATCTAACTTAAATAACCATTAATAAATATGCAAATATGCTAAATAGTTGATTTTAAATGATTATTTTCCTTTGTGTACTTTAACAGAAGGTATACATGTGTAATGATTAAAAAGTGTATTATCTCCTATATTTACACAGAGACACAGCCCAGGGATTACAAGCCAGACAGCTACATACAGTGGGATTTCAAAGAGCCATTTTACAGAGATAACATACAAAACGTTCCCAGAAACACTGGCATACAGCTGATGTTCCGCACCCGTGTCAATAGTGGCGCCCTCTTTGTAGCAAGTAATGAGGAAACTGAGCCTGCTTATAAACGTGATTTCCTCCTTGATGTTAGTATTAGTTCAATATTATTTTATCATTGATCTGCTGAACTACTGAAACTAACCTTTAAATGAATTTTTTTAAATAATAGGCACCTGTCTTGATGGTATATTCTTACTGTATTTTAGAATATACTAAGTCTTGTACTTTTATATTTTGTAGTTAAGTTTGATCTATTTTTAGTTTAGTTTTGTATATTATTGTACACTGTAGTGACCAATATTTCTATGAAATACAGGGTGTCCTTAAAGTCTATATTTATAGATTTTACATGTGTTGCACTGATTGTTGTCACCACCAAGAAGTGTTGACATTATTGTAACACCAGTCATGTTATATCCTTGACAGATTGTTGACAAAAAGTTACGATTTACTCATCGCTTGGGTCCAGAAAATCGTGAACTTTGGCTGAAAGATGTAGATGCATCTGATGGGGCATGGCACTCAGTGAGTGTCAATCGGGCAGGGAAGATTCTCTCCCTGCAGATGGATGGAGGAGATGGGCCATATTACAATGAGACCCTTGGTATGGAGAATGACACAAGGACATTTGAAATTAAGCTAAAGGGACTATATGGTGGTGCTGTTCGACTAAATGGTGCTGCACAAACAGGAATAGAAGGTAGTGTAGCATCATTTTTTAATTTGTTCTTTTTAGCTCACATGGTGAGCTTTTGCAATCGCTCACTTGTTCATCTGTCTGTCTGTCCATCCGTCCGTCCGTCTGTCTGTCTGTCTGTACGTCACTAATAGTGGCACGTTTTAAAACCTCTGTCGATAGGATTCCTGTTTTAAGTTATTTCTGTTCAACATCAATACAGAAAACTCCCCCATGACTCCTGGTTCAAAAGCTCGCCTATTTTCAAAATGGCTGCCATTTTTGTCTTGCGAAATTCACTTTTGGCCCATTTCCTAGCTTTACAAATAATTTCAGGTGTCCTACATTGTAAAAATCCATGTCAATGTAAAGGGTAGATATATGAAATAATTTTGTTACAAAAAATCAGCGAAAAATTATATTCATTTTTTTTATTTTCAGCCGTTTTAGTTAACATTGATTTGTCCGTCTGACTCGCGAAATCCACTTTTCCGTCAACAACAGTGGCATGTTTTAAAACCTCTGTCGATAGGATTCCTGTTTTAAGTTACTTCTGTTCAACAACAATACAGAAAATTCCCCTATGACTCCTGGTTCAAAAGCTTGCCTATTTTCAAAATGGCCGCCATTTTTGTCTCGCGAAATTCACTTTTGACCTATTTCCTAGCTTTACAAATAATTTCAAGTGCCCTACATTGTAAAAATCCATGTCAATGTAAAGAGTAGATGTATGAAATAATTTTGTTACGAAAAATCAGCAAAAAATTATATCCATTTTTTATTTTCAGCCATTGATTTGTCCATCTGTCTCGCAAAATCCACTTTTGGACCATTTGCCTTAAACCCTCTGTCGATAGGATTCCTGTTTTAAGTTAATTTTGTTCAACATCAATACAAAAAAATCTCCTATGACTCTTGGTTCAAAAGCTCGCCTATTTTCAAAATGGTGGCCATTCTTGTCTTGCGAAATTCACTTTTGGCCAATTTCCTAGCTTTACAAATAATTTCAGCTGTCCTGCATTGTAAAAAACCATGTCACTGTAAAGAGTAGTTGTATGAAATAATTTTGTTACAAAAAATTGGCAAAATATTATATCCGTTTTTTTATTTTCAGCCATTTTAGTTAACATTGATTTGTCCATCTGTCTCTCAGTCAGTCCAAAATAGTGGCAAGTTTTGAAACCCCTGTCTGTCAACACTTTTTAAATCCTCTGTAAATAGGATTCCCGATTTAAAATATTTTTGTTCAACATCAATAAAGAAAAAAACCTGTGACTCCTGCTTCAAAATCTCGCCTATTTTCAAAATGGCCACCATTTTTGTCTCGGGAAATTCACTTTTGGCCCATTTCCTAGTTTTACAAATAAGTAATGTCTTTGTAAAGAGTAGTTGTATGAAATAATTTTGTCATAAAAAATCTGCAAAAAATTATATCCATTTTATTTTTTTTTTCACTTCCATGTGAGCCCAGTACCCACAGTACTAATTTTTTATATGTAGACACATTGTCCTCTTTTAGCGAGGGAAGCTGGAATCCATAAATGGGTGAGGCTTTGAATAGGTGAGGCAAAACTGAAGCAAAATATGATAGGCCCTCAGTCCAATATTTAGAGGTTATGTCACTATCGTGGCATATATGCCCGAGGTCTCAGTGATATATGGCCCGACCTTGGGAGGGACATTGATCTCTGAGAACCGAGGGCATATGTGCCACGATAGTGACATAAACGATTTATAACATACCTATGATGATGTAGACTGGTCAGCTGAGTACCGTTTTCTTATAAAATTGACAAACAAATGGTTTGAAAATGATTGAAATGAGTTTAGAAAAATTGCTCGCGCAGTTTTATCTTCGATTGATTGGTTATGACGTCAGCGCCTTGACCAATCAGAAAGTAAGCGGGCGCGGGCTTTTCAAAACTTATATTGGCCCGCTGTCTTGTGTACACTTTGCACTATACATCATCATAGGTATGTTATAATTCACTATATTGCCCTTCAAAATGACGTTATTAGTATTATTACCACCGTTAATGACCAGGACTGAAACAGCAAGAAAATCTTATGCACTGAACGATATCTAATTTCCCAGGGAAAATTGCCGGTCTTTAAATGCATTCTTGACCGGCTATATTGACCGCCACTATGACGTCACATATTGCTCAAGGTCGATACAGTAAAATTAATGCCTTCTAAACTAGCACAAAAACCCCTAGAACTGGCCCGACAAAGTGGCAATAATGGAATATAATTTGCAGTTTTAAAATTTAAGTTCAAATATTTTTTTGTAATATTTTTGTGAGACAGATTCAGATTTAAAAGCTTATTATTCTATGTTCTTTACATTTAATAGATGTGAATATACAAAGCATTATTTTTAGCTACTAACTAACTGACAAAAAAGTCAGAGCTTCTAACTGTTACGTTAGATGGTTCTTCTGCAAGCTACAGAAATAATGGTTATATCATGTTACATCTATATCTAATTTCACTTACAGGAACTATGATTACTATATACATGTAGCGTCAAATATTAGTCATTAGAAAATAAATACAGTTTTCATGATATAGTCTATTTGTGGATATATCTTGGAGAATTAGGAAATAAGCAAATCTCTAAGCTTGTTAAGTACAATGCAATAGGAATAGTATTTCATCTCCTACGATGTCACAAATTAAATGATACACAATCTTTCATTTAATGAAATAAGGTTATATCCTGGCAAGTTCTATTGGTTTCTTGTATGTGCCTATTTGTAATCTGACATAAATCGTCATTAGCTGCAAATTGAGATTTCCTTGAAAATATTATGGTATCACTTGTGAGATGATGACTTCATGAAGTGAAAATTACAATTATTTACAATTGCGTATGTATTTATTGATTTGCAATTTGTACAAGCTAGTACAAACAGATGACTTACATTTTTCTAATGCTATAATTTAATGAACTTATTTAACTTATTTTCTGTCATGTATGTATGTATGTATATATTTATTGCCCTTTATAAATAGGAGATACATTCATGCAATTTTAAAAGATCAATTATTGTACAAACATTCAAACAAACAAGCACAAAGCAAATTCAAATCCATATTAATTTACCAACGACAGGCTACTGCATTGCCGTTTGTACAAATTAAAGTATATCCGAGTATAGCAGTTGTACAAGAATACAATTGAAAATAAACCTTATTGGTATATTCAGAATAATTACTTAAAATGTCCAGTGAGTGTACCTTACCCAAGTTTGGTACAACCAGTTATGATGATCATTTACGTATGACATACATGTACACATAAAAGTAATAATATGAGCATGAGGCAATAAAATATGCGTGTAATGACGATAAATCAAAGAAGTATTATTTTACCAAGAAAACCAATTAATGATCATTACTGTGTTACTACATTTATATTGAGTGCTGTTGAATTCTTTCTACAGAAGACATTGATGTCATACATATTCCTAGTAAAAAAAACATTGATTGAACAGGAGGAAATAACCTGTAGTTCAAAGAGTCTTCAGGTAAAGATGAACCTCTACCCCTCTTACTTTAGACTTAGTCAATGATTAAAATCCCTTCCCATCATGCACTATGATTTATAATAGTCACAAAATTCATTCCAGGTTGTCTTAATGACGTGCGCTATAACAAAGGATGGTTTCCAATGGACTCTGGGCAGAACTCTATCAGCAATGCGGCAGAAGTGCAATACCTCAGTAGCAATGTGGGGAGCACCTGCAATGCTGGGACACCCTGTACCGGAATAACTTGCCCCAATGGCCTCATATGTCTCAATAGATGGCGCGATTATGAATGCGGGTAAATATTTTATCATAAATGGAAAAATCCAATAATCAACACTTTTAGAAAAAATAAGCTAGGCTGTAAATATAAACCGTAGAATGTGGCAGTAATATTTATTCAGTGAGGACTAGTGGACTTACTAAAATATATGCATTTGCCAGTTTCCTCTCTTACCTTATCTTGACTCTACATGTACTGTGTAGAATGTTTCATGTGGAAAGAATGTCTGTGCATCTGGACACAAAAGAAACTGGAAATGAGAATACCTGGCAATTAATTCCTCCCACTTTTGACTGATCCCACTTGCATTATGATTATTATCCCAACGAACGAAGTTCGGTAGGGATATAGTGAAGCCCTCCGTCCGTCCGTCCGGAAGATAACTCAAATACGAGTTGATGGATTTTCTTCATATTTAGTGGAAAGATGTATATTGGTGAATAGTTGTACGCAAAAAAAAATTTTCAAGATGGCCGCCGCTTTAAAAATGACGGGACTTTTTCGCAAAAATCATAAATTTTTCATTCTAAACCAAAGTAATTAATATTATTGTTTGAAATTTTGGAAGTATATTTGCAACATCTATCTATTTCACATATATTCTGTGTTTTTCATCCTGACCCCCAGGGGCCGTGTATGGGGGGTCAGGAAAACAGTAATTTTCGCTAATTTTTAGATCTTTCTGACGTATAGCTTTATTATACTCAAATGAAAGGCAATTAACAGTAGATTGCAAATATTGTATCTTTTTTCTGATTCGAGCCTCGTAAAATTCAAAATGGCCGTCTAATGTACGATTTCGCAATAATTTTTCGATTCCTTCAAAGTATGGCTATATTATACTCAAATTGAAGGAATTTTGGAGTAGATCACAATTATGGTATTATTCTTCAGATTTGTACCTCAGAAAATTCAAAATGGCCGCTTTGCAGGAATTCGCAATTCTAAAATCTAAATTTTTCAATTTTAACCAAAGTAATGAGTATAATTGATTGGAATTCGGTAATTGATATTTTGTTCGTTGGGATTTGCTACTCCGCGGAGTTGCCATTATCTAGTTATAAATGTATCATTGTACTTTGATTTGTGCAATTCTCATGGTTTCAGATGCCAGGAAGGCTACCAAAGAGTGGATGAGGGTGGTACACCAACATGTATTCCAGTCTCTTGTCTTGCCAACCCTTGCCTCAATGGTGGGGTGTGTGTTCCAGTTGGCAGCGGCTATAGGTATGCCATTCAGTTTCTTATAACTTTTATAGAATTTTGTGCTGTACAAGTCATTCTAGAATGTGTATATTGGATGAATAGAGTTGAAAAAATTGTTACTCAAATGCAGAATGCTGTATTGCGATATTCCAACAATTATGATATAGAGGCTAATTAGTAATTATGATGAGGTTTAACACATGCCTTTAGGCATCTTTAGAGCAACAGAAATGCTAAAAGGCTCACAGCAATTTCAAGGAAACAAACAATTTAGTTTAAACAATTATTAGGGCCATACAAAGGACCTACATACTTGCATATACCTTGGCCCTGCTGCATTTTACTGTATAATACAATTATTTCCTTGGTGATTTAGATGTGACTGTAGGCCAGGCTACTCTGGTCCAAACTGTGGCATAGCTGCCAGAGTAGCAGCTGCAACAGCATCAATGAGTGCAGGAGCTATAGTCTCCATAGTGGTCTGTTTCCTCCTCTTACTCTGTAAGTCCCAATGAAACAATGGCCTTGTCATTTTCCCATAGGCCTTGTCAGATCCCCATACAGTAGGCTTGCTTTGCCTTGTTGGATATCCTCATACAACTTGTCAGAAATACTGCTATGGCCTTATACATACAAACTATATGTACGTTATAACAATGTAGGCCTTGCTTGGCATACATGTACCCCTAGGCCTTGCAGTTAAATTTAAGAGTAGTCAATTTGTATTTAGGATTATTAAGTTATTAAAATGCTTTACTTTTTACAGGAGTAATTAAATTAATGATACTCATAAAGTTTTCACTATTACTAGTATTAAAACCCTTCTAAATGAGAGGTGTTTAAGGTTGAATGTGATGCCACATTAAAGGAGCCAGTCAATAACTATTATAGTGTCCCTTCCTCTTCTCAGGTAAAAATCTCTATGTTAGTCAGGTTTGACCAACTTGATATCAAGGCTGAATCAAAGATCTGTAGTTTGGTTTAGTTAGATGGTTGAATAGGGAAACTATAGATTTGTTGCATGTGTATATATTTCTCTTTTTAGAGATGCAGAATGCTCCAAGGACATATCAGAGACTGCTTCTTAATTATACATTTTATATGTTTGTGAATGTTTTACAGTGATCCTCCCATGGCCCAGTCACATTAAGTAAATAAGCCACGCAGCCACTTGAAAATGAGGAAATTAATGAAAAACAGGAATATTTTGACAAGTTTTCTGAATTGAAAATTGGCAGACAAACGATCAGTCTTTGGGGACTACTAATTCCTATGGGTTATCATTTTACAGGTGTGATTGTCCAGCTGGATTCTCTGGAACATTGTGTGACGTGAATGGGGCTCAAACATTAACTGCAGCAGCTGTTGGAATAACAACAGGGGCTATAATAGCCATTGTTGTTTCTCTTGTAGCATTGATTTGTAAGTTTAGCCAGCATTCTTGCTCACATTTTGTATCACATTGCTGAATTTACATTTTAGCTGCCATTTTTCTCAAAACCATACTGTTGCTGCTGCTAATTTTTATCTTACTGCCAATTTTACATTTAGCTGCCATTTTTGTCCAAGCTCTGAAATAAATTGGTGTCAGCTTTGTGACAAGGTTCTGCCAATGTTTCAATATTCTATCTTATACTGTGCATTTTAGCTGCAAAGCCTGGTCTGTCTATTTAACATGGCACATCTGCCACTTCTGCATTCTCTCTCTTTTTCTAGTTCTAGGTGTACTGTTAAATGTCAAAGCATGGATGGTACATTTGCTACTGAAATGTATGCTGCATATTCATGTTTTAGTAGCTGCCTTTTTTGTAGATGACATTCTTTATATTAATGTATGATTATGTTCACTTCTCCATCTGATGAGCACAGTAGAACCTGTATAAGTGGAACACCATTGGGACCACAAAAATTGTTCCACTAGGGAGGTGTTCCACTTACAGAGGTTCATTAATATGGAGTAGATAGATCATGGGACTTTTAACATTGTTCCACTTGTGAGGTGTTCCACTTCCAGAAGTGTTCCACTTAGCGGGTTCTACTGTACATTAATTATGATTTAACATTTTCTTGATAATAGCTTGACTGAAACTCTTCTACTTGCTGTTCTTATATGCTGTCCCTCATTTTGCTGCAACTGATAATCTCCACTTCAGGGCACTTTCCACTATAACATGCTGAGGATACAACCTCTCAAATAAGTTTAGAAATTTGAAGTCTCCATTGGATAGTGTTAAAAATTGTACTTCAAATTGCCAAAACTTTTGGAGGCAGTGTACATTTCCATTATTCTTTGAATATAAATGGTATAAACCATAATAATCACACATACAATATTTCGGGGGGTGTTACAGAAATGTTTCACAAAAGTCTCCACATACTGTACATGTACATTGTACTATATAACTGTACCCTATAACTAACAAAAAGTGTACTTTATGCTGTAGAATTTTTCTTCTACCCAATTGGAAAATGTGTAGATAATATGCTTGAAACATTTATATTTATGAAACAGCGCTTTATAAGGAATGCTTTGTGCTCAGTTGTCATAATGAAGCCTTATATATAAGTTTATGTTTGCTATAGCCTCATTGCTTATTTGCTTTATTTAGCTGTGAGTGTACATCAGGTTGGAGAGGCAAGAATTGTGATATAATAGCAATAGCTGCGGTTGGTGCGTCACTTAGTACAGGTGCATGGGTGGCAATGCTAGTCTGCTTTCTAATGTTGCTATGTAAGTACCAAGTATGACTTGTATTATTGCTAATGTCACCCACTGAATGGTGTGTATGGCTAATAAAAAGTTGAGAACCACCATATTGACTCGATTACCACCAATCTCATTGTTAGTACCACCAACTTTGAGTTAGTACCACTAATATCATTGTTAGTACCACCGCTTTCAAATTGAATACCTTGAAAATGAAACCATTGATGACAATTTGAGTACCTCTGGTCATTCGAGTGCCTTCTATTAGTGTCATATGCTAAGGCGTTTTAATCCATCTGCTTTATACGCCTTATATGCTTAGTAGGATCACTACTTGTACATATTAGTTTTGACATTCCATTGTTATCTATCCTACTATTACATAGTTATTATATTGTTATCAAAGAATTTGTAAAGTTATACTTCTGCTGGATCAGAATTAATTCCATATTGTTGTGATTCTTGACTTTTGTTCCATGATATAAAAAGTGTAAAATATCATTTCACCAGAGACATGCTCAGATATAATCGGACATATTCTTTGAGATGAGCTTAATATGTAATAAGAAGAGTTAATAAAACTGCCATTGAGTGTGATGTCTATTCTGGACATTTGTCATCAATGCCATTGTATATCATAATAGGCATTGTATTCTATTTTCTCTAATTAAATTTCTCTAATTTCTCTAAAAGATGAAAGATTACTTCAAACCTGGGCTTTTATCTTTTGCCCTTTCTCATTATTTAATACTGTAGTCAAAAAATACTTTATGTGTTAAAGTGTGCATATTTCGTATTTTAAAACATGCTATTTGCATGTATATTTCAAATTGTATGTTGTTTTATCATATTCATTCTTTCTTCCATGTAGTGTTGATCTTGCTCCTTGTACTGATAACCAGAACGAGGAATCGCCCACCTCCCTTGATAGATGACATGGATGATGTCAGGGAGAATGTCATGTATTATGATGAAGATGGAGCTGGTATGTTTGATATATGTGTGAACTGAATTTCAAAATGGCTGCCAGTTTCATTATTTTGGAAAAAATATTATTGGATTACTCAAATACAAGTTGCCACACTTGATTAAGATTCCATGTACCAATGCTTTATTGGCTTAGAACTCTCCTCAGGAAACTGATTTCAAAAAGGCTGAAATTTCTCAGAATAATATGATTTTTGATAAACAAGTACTCTTGATTGATTCAAATTCTTTTAAGGATTTTTATTTTATTTTTGATATGATTTTATGTCACATATGTGTGTAGTTTTTCTAAAGTCAGATTAAACTATACTTTATTATGAGTGGTTTGATAAATATGTTTCGTTCAGTAAGATGTACTACTCCAGGAATTTGCTGTTTTCTACTTATAGTTTTCTCTAAAACATAAATAGCCATTTTTATAATGCCATTTTCACAAGCCCTCCGAAAATAAACACAGAAAATAGTAAAATACTGGAGAAGTCTTAAAAGAAAGGGAGACAGTAACCTTATCAAATGACAGACATGTTTATTTGAGATCTTGAATTATTTTTGTTCATCTTTTAAGATTTATATTACGTTGGAATTGCAGGAGAGGAAGATATGGAAGGTTATGACTTGGCTCGTCTTGCTAAGCCTGTATACGCAGAGGGTGAGGCTCCTATTAGGGTTGTGGATAACAGACCTGTCCAAGGTGAGCAGTTTCAAATATTTTGTTGAATAATCTTTATACTAGTTATACATGTACACTGTCTTTACCATTCATGCAATTAATACATTAGCAAATGTACATGTCAAACAACACAAAACAACTTTGCACAAAAATATAGTTATCTCACTCAAACTGGTTTAATTTCTTTAAACTCTATTAAGTCTACTCCATTCCCAACCTTAGACTATTTTAGAGTCCTTGTAAAAAAATCATCTTGGATTAACGGTGCAGGGTTCTTATCTGAAGTATATTTAGATCAAAAATATTTTGTTTTTAACATTCATTAAACAGGACACTTCGCTTGCTTTATTGAAGTCAAATTGCCAAATCAATCGTTAAACATAAGACCTAATAACAGCACAGTTTTATAAAATTATTTCTGTTTATGTCTTCAGCATCTGCCGCACCGCCACCTAGTGGTGACAATCCTGATGTTGGTGGATTCCTTAATGGTCGCCTTGGAGATGCAGATGATGATCCAAATGCGCCACCTTTTGACAGTATTCGGGAATATGAAGAGGAGGGTGAAGGAAGTCTGGCATTGTCTCTGAGCTCACTTGGGTCAGGGAGCAGCGGGGACCAGGACTATAACTATCTTAATGACTGGGGACCAAAATTCACAAAATTGGCAGACATGTATAATGAATGAGACAATCATTAGATGGCGTATATGTATATTCTGTAACTAGAGACCTTTGCAACAACCATGCCATCTCTTGCTACCCCAATGAAACAAAGATGTATATAAGCTTGATCAAGTAAGATGTATATATTTAAGGTAAAAATGGTTTCAAACAAAGAATATGATTAACAAATTCTGTATTAAGAAAAAACTCTAAGAACTTTTTGTGCACCTCTTCATGTACAATGTATGGCATCATTCATCTGGCTTATAGAACTTAACTTCTTTGGTATAGCGAAATGTGGCAGCGTTTATAAGGAAGGTGTATTGAAATGATATTTTGCTTGCGGCCCACATTGTCAGATCTATTGGTGCTTGATGCGAAACCTCTGAAATTTAATAAAAATTTAAAACATCATGTGTTTTAGTCTCCTCGGTGAAATAAATGAGTGCCATATATAGCCGTTCACTGTTAAAGGGTTCCGATTAGCATCCCGTATAAAAACAATATGGCGGCTCTAGGCGAATCAACTGGATCAGTCCATTTTTAAGAAATAAGGGGAGTTCTGTAAAATCCAGTTTATTGAAATTGTCTTTGAGATAAAGTAATCCGTTTATAATGATTTTGAAAACGTTATCCAAAGAGTGATTGCGTTCAAAGAATACATGTACAACAGCCAATATAAATCCTTGCATTAGAAACCGGTTTGTCTTGCTTTGTTTCATTTGTAGGATATTTCATATGCCAAGCTGTGTGCTATTACGTTATGGGGAAATTTAGATGCCAATTTTTCCTTATTATACACAAATAGATGATCCTGAAACTTCGCCCATAAATGTGGAATTGATTTGTCAAAATAAAAATCACCCTTTTATAAATGTGTGACGATCTATAATATACTTACGCTATATAACAGTTAGAGGTGTTGACACAACGACCTCAAACCTGTGAACCCTTGAGTATTATTCCGGGATCGGGCCTTTTATACTAAACGGTGAGCAACACCAGAAACGAGCGTTCGATTTGCTAAACGATATGCGTCACCCTTTAAGCCTTTGACCGCCTTCCAGTCCTACTATGAGACACCCCTGGTCTTAAATGGCATGAAAATGATTGAAAGAGGGAGGTGTTCAATCAATTATATCATGGCCAACTGTCCAACTTGTCTCTAAATTAATGCTTACAACATAACTTTTCTCATCTCATTTCAATGAAGAAAAAATGAGATTTAATATTGTTTGTTTGATGTGTTGGTTGAGCTAGTATTGGGTGTGATAAAATTGGTTATTTCATGTACCGGTTCACTTAACACTTAAATGAGATATAAAATGATGTGTTCATGAGATTAAATCTTGAATATGAAAACTGGAAAAGAAAATTTTACATTCTGAGGAGTTTTCTTAATTCTGAGGAGTTTAAATCTGGGTGATCGCATACATGTACATTTATGTTTTACTGTACTGTAATTTAGCCCACAAAAGATCACTGTCCAGGGCAAAGCATAAATACCAGTCCTTGAGGTATGGACTCAGTTGATTTGGATCTAGGTCAAATGTTTGTTCAGCATTTATGATGGAAACTCACCTCTGGTCTAAATTAAAATGCTGGTCCATATTTCAATATTAACCAGTTGGTCTGAAATATTTGTGACTTTACCATGATCCTATCTATAATTTAGATTTTCAGAGAATAACAAGAATATATCTCTTAATCACATGAGTTCTGTGTAAGGTATGTTTTGAATCATGTTTTAAATTAAAAATAATTAATTCTTATTGTAATTGCTGATTATATGTACATTTTAGAAGAATCTGTATATTTGATGATAATATGTACATTTTGTAATATGTATATTTGATGATTATTAATATTTCTCATAATTATATTTGATAATAATATGTACATTTCATAATAGTATTTTTTGATAATATTGAATGACAATGGTATGTACATTTCATAATAATATGTATATTTGTAATTTACTTGTTGATTTTGAGGATATATACCATTATTATATCACTATCTAGCTAGCGACAATATGATTGGTCAAAACCGGGTCACATGTCGTGGGATATCTGGCGATATTCAATGGCAATGCTAATCAGATAAGACAACCGTGAGATATCTAGCGATATCCCACGCTCCCGGGAATTTTCAAAGAATTTGTTTTCGTTCAGTGTAAATAACGAACCGAGTAGAATAACGAACCGAGTAGATTCAATGTATTTCAATGTTAACCTATGACTTAATAATATCAGGGATGTTGAGCTAGATACTGATATAATAAAACAAATATTTCACTCTATTTTCGATGAATACCTGTAGCACTTTCACAAGGTGATATTCCACTTGACCTTTGGGCTTCGTGGAATATCACTTGTGAAAGATGTACAGGTATTCACCTCAATAGAGTGAAATATTTGTTCAATATACTGACTTTTTATAAAAGGTCCAAATGATATCAAATGATATCTCTGGTATGTTTGATTCAGAATGGTTCATGTGATTGTAAGTGGCCTTGAGGACCTCATAGATCAAGCAACATTCTATATTTACACATATAGCAAAACATATAAATATATTTAGCTGCATTTTAATTCCATGAATGCTGCAAGAACAGTCTGGAATTGTTTTGTAAATAGTCAAGGTTTAAAACAAAATGAGAAGATTACCAAGGGTGTGTATGTATTGTGTACTTGCTTGGTGCCAAAATAGTTTTGAAAATACCCTGAAGCCCAGAGACTAAGACTAATTACTACCCTCTGGGAAGGATAGACTGTTTTGTAGTTTTGATACTTGTATGATCTTAATGACCCCAAAAATACCCATCATCATATCCATAAATGGGAGTTTGAATATGAAATAAATGCCAGCTACTTATGAAGGCATTAAATTGACTTCAATTCTGATTGGATTACTCAATTTGATCAGTCTAATCTGATTGGACGAGGCTTTTCAAAGAAATGTCTCTTATTCAAAGAGTTAAGATGAAGCTATCACTTAAACTATTGTAATGGGTATTGAGTATCATAAAGACTATTCAATGTAAAAACTTTTTAAGGTGATTCTAAATATAAATTTATTCTGTGCCAAATTAATAATATCATAGAGATGCTAAGCTTTTTATACTGCTACTGCTAAACTGTATTTGAATACCAGGTGCTTTAAATACATTTTATAAGAAATACATTTGTGTTTATATTCTTTATTTACTTAATATGTTATAAAAGAGCTAATATTCTTGAAATATGATCAACAATAACAATGTCTAATAATTACAGCATTCTCGGTTTATAAGATTTAAAGTTATTCTGAGATCAAAATCCGTTTTTCATTTTTAATGCTGTTTGATATTTTCCTGGTATCTGATTACATTATTGAATTCAGATACTCCTTGAGCGTATTATAAACCACAAAATAAATCTAAGAAGGCCTAATACTACACGTATCTAGTACACCAAACTTGTCATCACAGCATCAGTAATTGCCTACCATGCCACCATACAACAATAACTTAAAGGAGATCACTGCCTAACTCTGATGCAAAGATTCAGCAAAATATGAAAGCAAAGTAACCTAGAACTTGTACCAACAACAGATTTTGACATGAACCTTCCATAGTAACAGAAAAGAAGGTTTGGATGAGTAGATGATATCGACGCAAATTGCAGACTATTATCATTTTTACGGATATGTTCAACATCGAAACCCGAGGTGAATAGAATCTTGTTTTTTAGATTTTTCTAATATTGTTGAAATTGTAACATTTTGATTTACAGTTGATGGATGGGTTAGCTTAAGTGGTCATTATGTAATCCAATTGATTGACTGTCAGCATTCTGATTGTTTGATATTGAAGACCAAAGATCGGACTATAACAACTACATTTATTTTTTATGTCGGAAATACCTACAATGAGAATTGTAACTGTCTCAAGTTGCTTTCCGTATTCTGCAACCGGATTAACATACATTTTATGACCAACTTACTCATTTAAATATGAATAGAATGGTGGCAGGTTCTATTCATATTAAAACGAGTTGCTCACAAAATAATACCAGTATAGGTTAATCCGTTAGCCGAAAGTTGTATTCGCAAATACAAGCTCAATGTCTATGTATGGCGTCACAAGACAAATTAAAAGTACCTGCCATTTTTATTTCGGTGTCTCTCTGAAAACATTGTGTTCAGTAAATATACAACATGGAGTTCAGCTTGCATGGAGTATTAATATCACTGATACAACACACTTTACGGAAGGGAAATGCCTTCTTGGCAATACATAAAATGTGCAATCTAAATAAGTCCCTAGCTATTTAAAGTTTGAGTCACTGGCTCGTTGCCCTTACCCACCAATATTATCGGAGTCTTGAAGTCAGTTTGTTGCGAAGAATAATGTTACCAAATGTTTACAGGGTAAGTAACACCTAAGTCACATTTCCTACTATCACCGTACGGTCTATCATTTCTGCGGTCAGTAACACCCCAGTAACATTTCTACGCTCTACGCCGTAGAATCTCTGTGGTCGGATACTTTTTTAGTCATATTTCCTACGGCAGCCGTACAGCGAATTTTAAATTTCTGTTGATAAGAGTTAATGTTTATGATTACTGTATTTCATGTGTACATAATTTCAATTTTGTTATCTACAGTGCCAGGACATAATATCAAATAAAAAAGTGTCAGTGAAACATCGACCAATAGCAACTTAATCTTTGTAATATAGATTGCTGTATTATCAGTGACGAACTAACATCAAACAGTATTGAGTTGTGTTAACAACAAAGATTACAACAAACCTGAACTAAAACTGTTTCAAAATGAACATAACCCATCAAATCACAACGGCAAAGTCAAAGTATGTCCGACGTGCGGCCACCATGGGTACTTTTTCTGCAGGCTGGCAACGGCCTGATGATTTCTATACGGGGACGTCAGAAAAGAAATTATATTATCACTCAAGTTATAATTTCTACGGCTACCCTGCGGGAAGTTACAGAACACGGTATAACCTTCCTCACGGCCTCCCGCATTGTACAACATTTTTCATGGCCTCCCGCATTGTAATACCATTCTTCATGGCCTCCCGCATTGTACAACTTTCCTCATGGCCTCCCGCATTGCACAACATTCCTCATGGCCTCCCGCATTGTACAACATTCTTCATGGCCTCCCACATTGTACAACATTCCTCATGGTCTCCCGCATTGTACAACATTCCTCATGGCCCTATTTACAATGTTGGTATGGGAAAGAGAAGACAGAAAACAGATCACTTAAGATTTCACCCATACAGATACTGATCAAGGCTTATCTATATATATTCAGGCATGATAAACATTTGTATTAGTTGAATAAGTGAAGCCAATTGTACAACATTCCTCATGGCCTCTCGCATTGTACAACATTCCTCATGGCCTCCCGCATTGTACAACATTCCTCATGGCCTCCCGCATTGTACAACATTCCTCATGGCCTCCCGCATTGTACAACATTCCTCATGGCCTCCCGCATTGTACAACATTCTTCATGGCCTCCCGCATTCTTTTAAGTTTTATAGCGTAAATCCAAGGATTCATACCGCTATTAGCCACTAGCAATGCGATCAAGTAACAATATAATGATTTGTACCAAGCTGGCTCATTCTCCAATTTAATAAAAGAGGCAATGGTCTGGGGCAGCCAGCAAATGAGAAACACCCCAACCACCGAAATCATGGCCTTTGCAATCCTGCTCTCATTACGATGTGCGACGGCAATGTTATTGTTGAACGACACCAATTCAGCCTTTATTTTCGCATTAGTTCTAGCGGCTATCACTGCAACTATTGTATGAGCAGTCACAGTCAGGAATATCGCCAAAAATACATGGACTTTAGCAAAAGTGAAGAAAAGTGGTTTGACGACTTGGTTTAAGAGGCAAGTGTCGCCATCCTCAAAAGAAACGCTGTCCTTAACCAAGAATGGAACCGCACTTAATAAAATGATATATATCCAAATACATACGATAGAACGTCCAGCCCTTCGATGAGTGAGGATGTTTTTGTATTTCAAAGGATGCACGATAGCAATGTAACGATCCAAAGCAATACCACACAAGCTGTACAAGGATACGCCAAATGAAATATTTTGGAAAAACAGACGAAATTGACATGTCAATCTACTTTGAGTGAGCTCACCATAAATGATAGGTTTCAGATACACCATGTAGATTCTGAGAGGGCTTACAATGACACCCATAATGAGGTCCGCGATAGCCAGGCTCGTGACAAACATATTATTCACCGTGCGCAAGCTCCCGTGAAGCAAAATACTGACCAGGACAATGCTGTTACCTCCAGTAATAACTAATGCAATCAATGATTCAACCGTAGCATGAATAACTAGGTCATACATTGGAAGTACAGCCTGTTGTCTGGTCCCTATCGATACTATACTCGCATTGTCATCTGTGATTGGAACATCTGTCGTCATGCCAACAGCTTCAAGATTCTGACTTCCGTTGTGAAGAATCCTCGGTAGATCTGAAATGACGCCAAGGGGTCGATAGAATATTGTATGGATTAGCACCTAAATAAAAGATATAAATATTTAACCAATTGGTAACATAGAACTAATTAAGTCCCTGTGTTTTACTCCTAAGTCTAATCATCACTTATGCCCGGTCTCTCAATCTCAGTGACTTGGCCGATACTGCGTGATCTCACCTTGAATTTGAGTTTTTGGGCTTGTAGCTTGTATTCACATATGCAAATTTTGGCTGCAGGCTACCGGGTTAACCTATTATTTCATAACCAACTCATTTAAATATGAATTGAATAGTGGCAGGTTCTATTCATATTTAATTGAGTTGACCATAAAATATAATATTTTTATCCAGTATCCGACACCCGAAAGTTGATTCTAAAACAATGGTTCATCATTCATCATTCATGCTTAATCTATCTCTTAATACTTATATGCTTATATCTATCTCTTAATGCTTATATCTATTTCTTAATACTCATATCTATCTCTTAATGCTAGGCGCAGTCGTTTCGCTCCCGTTCGTAAAGCGTAATGGATGGGTGGTACATGGCTGCCATCTTGGATATCGTCCTTTCACAATGTCAAAATACCGTAAACATGTGGCGTTCATATTAAAGGAGGATGGAAAGTATCGCAGCAGATTTTGGACAGTCATATGTTGGATTTTGTGGTTCCTCTTCGATAAAGTGGAAAGAATAGTCTCCATGTTATTTTCCCATAGGGAAAACTCATGCAATCCATTGCTTTCAGATAACTTTGGTCACCCATAATGAATATTTTTAAAACCCCTAGAGGAATTATTTATTGATGCAACAAAAATTGGAAAAGCAGGGATGGAAAGGGTTGGAAATCAGGACAACATTTCAGAAAAAACATGTGGGTGGGTTGTTTGCATCTTCCCCGTCTCAAAGTCAAAATTATTTTATCATCTCTATGAGTGTTTTTCCTTAAGAAAATGCATTGGCCCAACAAATGCACATGTTTTAATCCTAGAGAAAATGACCAAAATCCAACATACGACTGTCCGAAATCTGTTACCGTACTTTGAATGAAACTTTGAATGAAAAATTGAATTTACTTTTAAAAAGCTTCTAACGTTTATCACATATTAAAAAGCTAAATATTATCTCTTCCTAAATTTCCCTTTACAAGAATGAAATTTTTGTTATCACTTTCTCACACTCCGCATTTGCGTATCTGCGTACATTGCAGATTATGCAAGGTTCGTAGGTTCTCATATTCAGATATTTGACGATACTTTATATAGGTTAGCTATCTGGTTTTCAATTTCATTTTCTCGTACTTTGTTTTTTGTTTTGCAGTATTCGCCAGAATAATTTAAACAATTTTTGCGTGTTGCACCTGATACCATATTGCTTGCCTTTCGCCGTTCGTGTAAACGATTCTGCTCATAAACAATAATATCGCGTGTTGTAGTCTCGGAGAAAATTACACAGATGAAAATACGTTCTATCAAACACAAGAAAAGATATTTTACATTTTGTGATTCTATAACATGGTGTCTATGGGGACTCCTCCCGACCTAGAACTCACATTTTCAAAAAAGATTAAATTTTCAAGTTAATGATTAAATAATTGTTTAAAAAACAATTCTAGATGTAATTTTACATATAAATCACTTTTACTAAATTTTGAATATTTAAGTTAAGTAAATCAAGGTTATTCCACTTGCATCTGTCTAGTCTAAATCGTTTCGTCCAGGGTATTTTTTAAACTGTTATCTCGATATGTACTAAGGGATCTAATACTATTACAACCATCTAATGTAGTTAAGTAATGGGACAATCCAAGTCGATGAGGCATATTTGAGTTTAAGGCATTATAATACTATCTATTAAACTTAATTTTCTAGACATATTTGCATTAAGGTTTTTTGTAGAATGTTGAGGCAACTGCGTCGCCTCTCCCATGCTTCCTTTCCCAATATAAGAATACAGATTATAAATTCAACTCAGTTTAATATAATCTAACATACAAAAACATACTTGCGATTATTCTACGGCGGTGTCGTCCGGATCGCTACAGTTGAGGCATTATTTCCATATCATAGTTTCTTCTTCATCGTTAGATTAAACATTTGGGAAAAATAAACTCCCAATTCAAGTGACGTATTTTGTTCTATTTGTACTTGTAACCATGTACTTCTTGTACAGAGTTCTTCGTATCAAGTTGCAAGATCCTTTGGCATTTCACTGTCCTATTCTGGAAATTGAATTGACGTGCATCTTAGACTGAGATTTCTTGATAATCAACGTGTCATCAGAGTCAGGATTCCATTAAAATAGGCACGTAAGTGTAAACTGAGTTACTTCTTCACCTACATTGTGACTTGTATTATAGTCATCATCACGGAGGCTTAGGTATGTATATCATCGATTAGTGTTTTGTTCCCATTGTCTTTGCATAATCGGGTGATAACCCCGGAATTCGAGTCATTGATAACCAAAAGTTATTAATAATGTATAATCACACCTTCATTACATAACGGAACTGAGTTTTTCTGATTTGTTGATTACTTTTCTATACACATCACTCTCTGTTCATGAGACACGGACCGGGGACACGGAACACAGTTTTTCAGTTCAAAGAAATAGGGAGCGATCTGAGGCACTTCGATCAGGGTGTTGTCGGGACAGGGTGTTGTGGCTTAGGTTATGTATTTAGGTCTAATTCAACAGAATATACTGGTCTCACACGCCACAAATGATGCAAAAGATGTCAAAATTGCAGACCCTAAAATTCAGATTTCTAGGGGTACATTATTATTTAGCTATAAAACAAAAACTAAACAACCAATGCTTCTTTCTTTTGGTGTTTCTGTTAAGAGTAATCATGCTCAAAATGCGTAATATGTAAAAAAAAAAATTAAGAAGTTTAACTTTATTTAAAAAGAACAACATTTTTTCACCCTAAAATCATAGAATTTAGGGGGTTGAGAGACACTGATTGGAATCGATATTTTAATTTCTCAATCAATCTTAGTTTAATAGTAATGGAACTTTCCTAAAACTAGCACCAGCACATCACCATTAAGAAAAAAACTCAAACTGACATATTTTTCGTCTATAGGGGTCGATTTACCTCTCCCTCTTTCCCTGTTTAGAAGGGGCGTGGCCATATTGGCATGTTCATATGAAAATAAATACTTCATGTTCATATCAGGTTCAGGTTCAGGTTCACATCATTTTTATGTCCACATCAAAAAGTGGTGACATATTGTTTTGGTCTCTGTCCTTTTTTGACAGCGGTCAGTGGTCGGCGGTTTGTGGTTGGTGGTTGGCGATTGGTGGCTGTAACAATTTTTTACAATTTCCAATAACAAATACTATATAGACTGACTTCAATTGTTTTCAAAATCATCTACGTGTTTTCAGAAGTTCAAATCTGACTATATTTAAGATTTGACCTTCAATGACCTTTTCAAGGTCAGAAATGGTCTTTTTCAACTTTATTCAAATTAACCATTTTTGCAAAAGCATGTATAAGTTATCGGAAGTTCAAATCTGACTTAAGGTTTGAGATTTGACCTTCAATGACCTTCTTAAGATTTAAGAATATAGATTTTATCATTAAATGACATTCTCAGGGTCAAAATAGATTTGACCTTTAGTGGCCCCTGGAGGTCAAAAAGGTATTTTTATCTTGTTTCATGTAGGTGGTGACATTTTGTCATGTTAATGCCTTGTTTTACTTGAAGCTAGTGCATGTCTTTGAAATGACATTTAAGCCTAATAGAGTGGAACTTGTGTTAGTGAACACCTTTCTCTAGTGAACACCCTATTTTCAGCACATACTTTGATTCCAAAACAAATTGTCTCTCTGGATTGAAATCTACCAATAGTGAACACGTTTTTTGTGGCTCTATAGATATTCACTGTACATAGGTTTTACTTTATACAAAATACTTTTATATTTAACTTTGATTCATAAACTGATTATCTAATTGCAATTATAGATTGCTATCTATTATTTGCAGGGAACACAGCAAAACAATAAGAGAGAACAGTAAGCTAGTCAAGGGTTATAACTGTCTGATGTTCTTTTGATATATTCATTTGATGGGTTTCTCTGAGGACAAAGATCATTTATACTGCATATCATCTTGAATGCCAACACCCTCTAATTTAGCAGATGATCTCTTAAATGCAGCATCCAAAGGGAGAAGGAAATAAGTTTTCATGACCCCATTAAAAGAATGAAACTGAAAACATCTGAATTCAATGTCGAAGTTATAAAGGTGAAAAGCTCTGGAAACAAACTGATTGAGATTAGAGCTGACCGCAATATATTTGGCCAGTAAGTCATGTTATCAGAGTAGCATGGTATTAGCCTAAATTATTGGAACATCCCCTGAGTCCAGGCGTGTCTCCAAAAAGCTAATAATAAAAGGACCTAATACAAGGATTCCTTTAAATTCCTTTAATAATTAAACGATGAAAATGAAATGCAGGTGAGCCAGTTGATCCTTGAAGAATGGAAAAAGATAAAAATGCTCCTAAACTCAAAGAAAGACAGATCTATTTTACATGTGGTGACATCTGTAAGTTGCGAGATCCCCAGATAGCGATGTTTTTGTACATTTTTGCACTTTCAAATCTTATCCAAACTCCATTAATTTTCGACACTGGTAGTGCAGACCACAGATGATCTGCACAGATCAAACTGCTAAATGTGCTGAGAAGTTTACTTGCCAGAAGTAAAGAAACAAAAAGTGTTCAAATATAAATGAGCTGAGATATACCTTATTCAAGGACAATTTCCAACCAAAATCTGCTCCAGTGTGATAACAAGCTATGAAGGCACTGACATAAACCTCCTACCCCCAGGTAAAGATTCACTACAGCAGCATCTAGCAAGGGCCAATTATAAGGCACACATATTATGGAAACTTGCCCACATCCCCTCCCCATCAATTCCCTCCCCTGTGTCACATAGATGGAGGATGATAGATGCCTTTGATTTTTCAATGGGTGTCAAATCAAGATAAAATTGTACCCCAGGACCTGGTAGATGTTATCGTA